CTTCTCCTTCTTGTCTTACACCTTAGTATGCAAAAAACTTATTCACACTTAATATCTTAACTTTTAGAGTCTGAATCTGAAGACAGTTCTGATGATGAACCATTAATTAAAAAATTGAAAAAACCACCTACAGATGAAGAGTTAAAGGAAACAGTAAAGAAATTACTGGCTAATGCTAACTTGGAAGAAGTCACAATGAAGCAGATTTGCAAAGAGGTAATCAGGGGCATGGGTTCTAGTTAGTCCCTGCTGACTTAGGAATTTTTTACCTATTTAATTTGAAACTGTTAGTACATGTTTTTGTTTATTCATTCAGTTTACTGGTGTGGAAACTTAATGATGTATCCTTACCTTGTATTGGTTTAAAGAGAATCCTAGGAGTCACCTTACTCTCTTAGTGTGCAGACTGCTGTTATAGATTATGTTGTTAACTTAAACTTCTGGACATCTTTCAATACATCTCTGGAAATAGTCTTGAATGAGTCATTATCCATATTGAAGATATAGTTGAAGATTTTAAAATCTAGTTTCTTATGACTAAGTGAAGTTTAATTTGAAATACTCCAAAGGTAAAAAGAATCTATGCTTTTATTGAATTATTTTTTCATAAACCTTCCATGGAGCCTATACTAGATGCCAAGCTAGGACTGGGTGTTAAGAGATAAAGCAGAGAAGCCATTGCTTGTCCTTAAATATGCCTGCAGTTCAGTGAGGTGTAGAGGAAGACATTCCAACAGAGGGCTGTGTGCAAACTGTTAGAACACTTTGGGAGGAGCACAGCACCACAGAACAAACATTTCTACCTGGGGGCTAGGGCTTTAAAGAATATGGAAAAGCATCTAGAATTATTTACTGAGTCCCAAAATAGTAGAACATCACCTTTTCTCTGCAGCAGTGGTTAACCTTTCTAATGCTTCAACCCTTTATTTAATATATTTCCTCATGTTGTGGTGACTCCCAGCCATGTAATTATTTTTGTTGCTACTTAATAACTATAATTTTGCTGCTGCTATGAATTGTAATGTAAAATGCCTGTTTTCTGAGGGTCTTAGGTGACTCCTCTGAAAGGGTCATTCAACTCCCAGGTTAAAAACTACTGCTTTATTATTGAAGAACAATGGCAAAGTCACTGAAATAAACACCAGTTTGCCTCAAAACTATGATTTCAAGTTAGTCTTTACTGACGTAAGGAGAGAACTACTAGAGTTTTCAAAATTTGTAGATGCCTTGGAACTAACTTCAGTGTTCTTGAAACTAGGGAATTGAGAATCTGGGTAGAATATTGAGATAGTTAAAGGGACATAACAATAGTTGCTTTTGTTGGTTTTGAGACAGGACCTCTATATAACCAGGCTGGTCTTGAACTCAGAAATCTACCTGTCTTCTAAGTGCTGGGATCTAAAGTGTATACTAACTACTCCAGGTTCAATAGTTCCTTTGTTTGTTTTTGGAGGCAGGGTTTACAGGTATAGCTTTGGATCCTGACCTGGTGCTTGCTCTATAGACTAGCTGGCCTTGATCTCACAGAGAGCTACCTGCTTCTGCCTCCCGAGTGCTGGGATTAAAGGCGTGTGCCATCCCAACCATCGATACTTACATTAAAGTTATCCTTCAAACATCAAAAAATATGATCTGACAAAAAAGATGGTAGAGGCAGAAAATCCAGTTTATGTCATAAAGTAATAGGTATGAAATTGGGGATGCTTGTGGCTCAGTGATAGAATACTTGCTACCAACAAGCCATAAGATTGCCTTAACCCGCCAGAAATCAGAGCCTAATTAAAGGCTTCTTCATTGAGGATGCCACCAATCACAGGTAGCCATAATCATACTTGAGACTAGAACAGAGTTTAAAAGATGTTTTATTTAGATACTTTGAGGTGTAGTTCTTGGAACATGCAAATGAACACTGGTTCTCCATTTTAGGAGATACTTTATAAGACTTGTAAATATTGAAGGGGCCTTTCATCAGACATAGAAGGAAATAATAGTTTTGCTTATTAGAATGAAGGGAGCACTATAGAGATTGACAGTTTTCATTGGTTCTAAAGAATGCAGAAAAACAAGTACTTCTTGTGTTTTAAGTTGTAACAGCTTCTTTAAAGGACTTCTTTAGAGTGTATTGAAATTTAGATTGCATATACCCTTTAATCTAGTGGTGCCATGTCAAGGGCTCTCCTTTAAGGCATAGTTATATGATGCCGAAAATGTTCATTCAACTTGTGTATAAATAGTGAAAAATCAGAAGCTGTGTAAATGACCATCAGTAAGGAAATGAGTAGTATAACTTACTAAATATATTAGGGGTTGTAGTTATTTATAGCAAAAGTTATAAACCCTATGAGGGTAAGAGTTCATACTGGAAGTTAATCAATATATTTGAGATTAACAGGTTCCTTTAAATTCTAGGAGTAAAGCACTCATGAGACCATTTGGATTTTCATGATTTAATTAAGAGGATTGAGTATAGAGTAGCGGTTGAAGTTGAAACTGTAGAATCTCAAGAATATTGGGTTATATTGAAGACTAAGACCTCTAAAAGCCACTCTGCAGATAGCCTGCCAATACTCCCTACCTGTATTTTTGATTCAGTACTGCTTGGAAGTAGTAAAGCACTGAGGATGTCAGTTGACTTTATTGCTTTGAAGACAATATTACTAAATCTCACTTGCAGGCACAATTTTGGTGATCCAGAAAACACTTAAAATATTATGGACTGTGGTGATATCTTGTTTATACAAAGCCTGTCTGAGGGTCAGAGAATTGAGCTTGCCACTAGCTAACCATAGAGGTCTGGAGGTCTGTACAGTCAGGAAATGAGGTAGCTGGGAAGAAACAAGATGTAAGCAGGGAGAAACAGGAAGTCGCTCTCTAGTCTGCTAAGATGCTAAGGAGGTAAAATGTGCTGTGGCTTGTTACTTCTCTCTGATCTCTCAGAATTTCCCTCTATATCTGACTCTGGCTTTATATTATCTAGACCAATTAAGAACTCCATTTACAATGGACTTTTAAATCTGCTTTTAATGCTTTTAGGTATATGAAAATTATCCTGCTTATGATTTAACTGAGCGGAAAGATTTCATTAAAACAACTGTAAAAGAGGTAAATATTTCTTTTTCTGACTATTCATGTAATTACATTTGATACCTCAGAGTTTTTAGTAAACATGGATGGGGAAATATATCTAGTAAATTTGAACAGTTTTGATAAAACCTTATGCTAGATTAAGATAGGTTCATAGTGCACAGGGTAGCTTTATATTCCTGAGGTACTCACTAGCTTCAAGGCAAGTCACTCCAAGGTACAAGGTCAGCAGTAGCCACTGTTTCATATTTAGTCCATGGTTTCCTAAGGTCACGTTAATATGATGCAAGTAAGACTATATGATGTAATACATACTTGATTTTGTGTGTTGGATGTGGTAAAATGGTTTTCTTTTTCATTGCAGCTAATCTCTTAGAGGACAGATGGCTTGTTCTCAGATTTGAAGATCTGATTTATACCAGCAAAGAGAATGTATTTTCTTTTTTTAAGTCTATTGTTGGTAGAACTCGCTGCTGACCCTTTTGAGTGTTACGTATATTTGAGCTTGCTGTTTTAAATTGCATTTCCTTGCAGTTTTCAGTCTTGCATGGCAGTAATTGTTCCTTGCTTTCTATAGTTGTACATTTTGGATTTCTTTATTGTAAGGTCACAGATTTCTGAACTGTTATTAATTTTAGTGCACTTAATGTTAGCTTAAGATACTTTTAATCAAAGCAAAAACTATTATAACCAGCATTTATACATGCAGAGACTATTGCAGTATTTAGTATATGAAATATTTTGAATACACCTTCTGTCAGTGTGAAAACTTAGTGGCAGTTTGTTCATCTTTTAGAGCACAGCTGTTCAAATGACTGAGTTGGGACTTTTTCTGCATGTGTATATATGTCAGGTTGTCAGCATGACAGAAGTGACAGATGTTATTTTTGTATTTTTAAAAACCAATTTGTTGTATATAATTTTTTTTATTTCTTTTGTGCAGATCGGTTTTTAAACTCATGTAGGTAGGTGTCTTTACACTTGTAACTAAAGAATGTCAGTGTTCATCTAGGTGGAATGACAGAGCAGTCAGGTCAGTGGTGGCAACACTAAAGGACTGTCCAGTTCTGCTTTGCCCCGAAAGTGTCATCAGTTATGTATGTTAACTATCTATGTTAACTTAAGTGTCATAGAATTTTTATATTGAGGATAAACCAAAATCAACACATCAGAGTTTCAAAAACTGGGAAAGGGTGAGCACACTTGGCTTATATAAGTGAGCTGATAATAACTAAACTTGATACAGGAAACTGACTACCTTCGTAATTATGATTAAAAGTACCAGATATAATGCCAGAAGGTATGTGGACAATGTATGTATCTCTGATTAAAAGTATCAGATTGTAATGCTGGCAATGTATAAGTATTAGAGAATCAAGGCTGTTTGATTTTAAATTTTGGTCAATCAAGACTCTAGGTGATAAACATGGACTGTCCCTGAATTTAAATTGTCTTTTGATTATCCTAATAACCTATTTCTGAATTATAATAAGCTGCTGCTTGACAAAGTGACAATTGATGTACCAACTGAGTGTTTAATTTTTCACATCATAGATCAGATATATTAAAATAATGTTGAGCATTAACAGGTATTTTCACATATTTGACTTTAGTATATATATATATATATATATATATATATATACTTAGCGTGAAATAGAACAACTAAATGAGGACTAAAAATTGGCATTACTTTTAAATAATTTGTTATAAATCTTGGCAATAAAAATAAATTGATGTTTTAAATGTCTTGTATTTAGTCTTTCAGTTTATTTGCTTTTGTGTCATTCTCTGGGGTGTGGGAAGATTAGTCCCTAATCCTATTATTGAAGAACTCCAAGTAATAACTGACTACTTTTGAAGAGATAGTTTAGTAAATGCTTATAACCAAAAGTTTGAAAGGATTGGAAACAAAGTTGACAGTGATGCTATAACCATTTATTAAGGGAATTTGCAAAAGTTCTTATTAAGCAGTTTTACATAACCAGTTATTTGTGACGTGTAATTAAATCACTAATTCTGCTCATTAACTTTTTTTTTTTTTTTTTTTTTTTTTTTGGTTTTTTGAGGCAGGGTTTCTCTGTGAAACAGCCCTAGCTGTCCTGGAACTCACTCTGTAGACCAGGCTGACCTCTTGAACTCACAGGGATTAAAGGCATGTACCACCATTGCCCGGCTCTCATTAACAAAAATCTTAAGAGGTTGAAAAGCATAGCAACTCAAAAGTACCAGAGCTCCTGTAGAACAAAATATGAAATTAAGTTGTCACCTGAAAAAGGGAGAAAAATTAAATACACATTTATATGAAATGTCATAATATAAGCACAAGTGCCTAGAAACTAAATAACTTAGACTGAAATTTTAACATTTTGCATTTATCACTTCACACATGCTAAACATTTTAATTACTTACACTTTAAAGCAGAATACTTCCCTTATCAGTACCAATGAGTCTCAACAAATAACCTGTAAGCACAGTGAATAATAACTTTAAATATGTAGTTACTGGTTTGTATCACACTTTGACAGGGAGGGTGTCTATGCTGTCTAGAGCTCACTTCACTGTACATTCTTTATATAAGATCTTTAAACAAGCTAATTTTGAATTTCAGAAATACCTAATATTTCAAAAAGTGGCTTTAAAGTCCTTTGTAGCTCCCTTTTAAAAGCAGATAATGTAATTCAAAGACTTTTTAAAACAAAAGCATATTTCTAATTTGTCAACTGAAGTTTCTTGGCAGAATAGGTATCCAAAAGACCCTGAAACCCATGTTTATTAAACAATCTTTAAGTGGAAAAGTTTTGCCATGTTTAGACTTTTAACATATGGCTTATAAAGTATGTGCTATGTACCAAGATAACTAAGCTTTTCTGCAGTTTTCCAGTGGACCTGCCTATGGGAAACATAATGTAAACTATATAAAATATTAGACACTGAAGATATTTGCCAAATTTCAAGTGTGCTACCCGCCCCAAAAATGTTTTTATAGTGTGAAAACATTCACTCACAGTTAAGGGATTTTGAGTCTTGTGTTTCTGATGAGAGCACAGATCTAAAATATCAAAATATACCTGAATCTAAGTTTTGAATACCCAATGAAAAGAAATATATGTAGTATAAAAAAGCCTAGAAGCTTCATGTCATACTTTCAAGTTGCTGTATCAAAAAAAGAATTGAAAATTTTAAGGAAAGCCTGAAGATCGGAGTTGTGTAAAAATATTAAGGCTCATTGGTAAAGGTACTGATAAATTGTCACAGAAAAACACATGGCTTTCTCTAAGTTTGCTAGTGACTCCTGCTGTATTACTTGGTTTCACAATATATGAAAAGTAATCTGCCAACTAGAATGTCCAGTATGAAGGGAACTCCCAACCCGAACCAGGGTCTCAGTGTTAGGGTATACTGTGCCACTTCTGAAAACCACAGGACTTAGCACTAATTGGGCCTATGGAAAAATAAAGTATAAGTGCCTAGAAGGATTTTGAGGGTCAGTGATTTCAGAAGAATGAAATGTGTTTACATTTTCCTATCACCATAGAAACATTTCAATTTTACTATACAGAGTCCCCTCTCTCTTATTTGTGTTTCAAACTTTTCCATTTGGGACACAGAAGAAAGCTAGGTCCAGATGTGTTCTTTTTAAAACGCTGCAATCTTGCTTGCTTCTCGAACACCACTCAAATATGCTCCTGTAACAGTTTGTGGGAAATGCCTGTTTGTTGCCTGTGGGGTAAAAAAGAAACTGTTTCAGACTGTGCATAAAGAACTGATGATATTGCAGGTTGTATGACCTTATACTTTTTCTGGTTTACCGAAAAAGATTTATGTGTTCATGACAGAGCCTTGAATCTTGGCTTCTTTTGCTAATGCTTTACCAGACTTATCTGGTATCTGATGTCCCTTCCAAGTACTGTGACATCCATGGAAATAGTATCTAGAACAGTGAAGGTTAAGTATGCATAAGCCTCATAAATGAGTATTAAAAGAGGAACGTGAGAATAACTATCCAGGGAAAGCAAGATGAGTCAGTCTAAAGAAATCCCATCTTAGCCTAAAATTGTAATCTCTAGAAGCAGATGAAAAATGCTACCTGGAATATGGCCATTATGTGCAACTTGCACAGCTGACCTAAGATGTCTCTTGACAAAAAATTACACAACAAAACCTAACATTATCTGATCAAACCAGATTTGTGATCTGCAGGTAAACTTGTAATAGAGCTGCCTTTATGATGGGATGGAGGACAGGAACTAACAAAAGACAAAAACATTTTTACAAAGAATCTTGGGGAAATTTCAGTCTGGGGCCTGAGAAAGCATAGCAGTGCAGGCAGCAGCTGGTTTCCAAAGCATTTAGATCCAGGCAGCTGATGCTGCCGTCCCTCCTGTTGTTGGTAAAGTACTTCAAACACAAGGATCTACATGTTAGAAAGCACACCCTTGTACTCAACTCTAGGAAGTTAGGTCTCTAGATTATGTTTTCTGCCCAGCAAGCATAATCCACTTGGTAAACTCCAGGCCTATGAAACCCTGTCTCCAAAACAACCAAGGTGGACAGCTCCAAAGGAATGACACATCTGAAGTTGAGCTCTAGCACATATTTACCCCTCAAACATGCCCTTCTTCTTGCAAAAATCTAGGTATTATGTTCAATAAATCCTTCAGCCGAGTGGTGGTGCTGGCAGTGGCAGTGCACACCTTTAATCCCAACCAACATTTGGGAGGCAGAAGCAGGCAGATCTCTTAAGTTCAAGACCAGCCTGGTCTACAAGAGCTAGTTCCAGGACAGCCTCCAAAGCCACAGAGAAACCCTGTCTCCAAACAAACAATTATCCTTAATAATTACCAATGAGCTTTCTAGCATCCAAGATGCCAGAAGCAAAGCTGCTACCAAAAGGAAATGTTCCCCAGGCAGTGCTGTCACTGCTGGAGCTGTGAAGGCTTTTCAAATGTGCCTCACAACCAGCAAGGAAAACGAGAAACAGTTTTCAAAAGCTTAAATAACCAATGAGACAATTCTCAGTGACGGCAATAAAAACTGACAAGAAAACATTCATTTCAAAGTGGAAAGAAAGGTTGGCAATCCAAGAGTTTGAAGGAGAACAGAAGATGTAAAGGATAAAGAAAATGGGAGAAAGCGATCAGAAGTAAATTGCTGGATTGGAAGACTAGTTTTTAATTACAAGGACTAGAGAGTTTTAAGAGTTCGCCCGGCAGAAGACTGTACTATATATTCTTGTCAGTTAACAGTGCATACTCGAGGGTTTCAGATAACAAGCCAGTTAGGTGGGAGATATTAGTGAATTGTGAACTGGAGATAATTGAAGAGTAGTGGAGACAGGTACCAAAATAGCTACCAGGAAAGCAGAAACCTGTTTAATAATGGAGTCCATGAACACCTTAACTCAGATGTCAACATTACATTGCAAATGACAGTTAAAACAACAGATATCAACCAAGTGTGTTTAGCTCACACCTAGAATCTCAGCAGAATATGGGGCAGGAGGATTGTTGCAATCCTGTAATCCGAGTGAGACCTGGAGCATGGATACCAATTAAGTAAAATAGCTATATTTTTAATATAACAAAGCAAGCTAGAGTCTAATACTTAAATCATACAATGTCAATATAGATACTTTAAGACAGATAAAAATGATCTGATCACAGGAAACTAGACAGCTAAAAATAGCTGCAGCAGAAACATAAGGCAAGCTTTCAGAATGGAAAGGGATTCCACCATGAGCAGTCACAAGACTTTCTAACACACTTGGCTTGGGTTTTAAGACTGAGCCAAGCCAGGCGTTGGTGCACGCCTTTAATCCCAGCACTCAGGAGGCACAGGCAGGTGTATCTCTGTGAGTTCAAGACAACCCTGGTCTACAGAGCAAGTTCCAGGACAGCCTCCAAAACAATACAGAGAAACCCTGTTTCGAAAAACCAAAAAAAAAAAAAAAAAAAAAAAAAAAGACTGAGCCATTTTAATTGAAAATAAAAAGGATTGAATTTGATGTCAAGATATGTACCTCACCAGCAAAAAAGACAGTTCCTTGTATCTCTTCAGCAATGATGTCATAGGCCTCACCACTTCCAAATGTCTTGACGAAACTATATGCCATCTGGATCCATGGCTCTGTGCTCCACCGTGTGACAAAATACTTGGTGGGATCTGGGACTTCCTTATGTGCAAACAAATAAATTATTTTTTTAAAAGGATAAAAAGGGAAGTTGGATATACCACAACCCATTTGGAAATAAGCTGTTCTCCTTTTAGACCTGAGTGTACTGTGGTAGCCTCCTAAGTAGCAATATGTCCCTCCTTCCCGTGACCTTTCCCTTCCCCAGCCAAACCCAATCCCTTCACTTCTATGCCTCACCTGCCAAAGACACATCCTGTACAACAAATCGATACAGAGACTGTACGCTAAATTTTGTCCACTGGCCTCTGACATGAGAAACACTTCCCTATAATTTGTTGTTCCAGATAACTGAAAACCCAAGCTGAGAATGACTATGTGACAGAATTATATGACTAGTTAGATCTTTTACAAAGGATTGGCAATAGCTGAATGTACCTCAAATTTACATTGAGTCATTTCACTTCTATTTCTACTCTTAATTAGAAGACAGGTCATGGCTACTTCCAGATCTTCAAAAAATAGAAGGCACCCTGACCTCCTCGTAGAGAGACTTGTTTATGTGGTACAATAGAAAATTTTAGAAAACATCCCTTTTTAAAATAGCTCAGTGGGTGCGGGCACTTCTGCTAAAGCCTGATAACCTGAGTGATCTCCAGAACTTACATAGTAGAAGGAAGTTATCCTCTGAACTATACATATGTGTGATGGCATGCACGTTTATATACGTAAGATTTTTTTTCTTAATGTAGTCAAAGGTCTTATAGCTTGGGTAAACATGAACTATAAGAAAACATGGCCTTTTACAGTCTTAGGAAGATAAGTGTAAATCATGTGATAAGAAAGACAGCCATATTGTAGACTGCTGCTTTGTAGCCCCTGCAGACCCAAGTTTAAGGACTAAGTCCATCAGAAGGAACTTGGAAGCATGAATCTTCAATGGGTAACTGGATAACAGCAGGGGTATTAGAGGAGGACTAATTCAGTATGACCAGCTTCTGTCTTTAGAGTACAGAAGGAAAAGTATTTGAGGATACCAAGGAAAACATCTGTAAACCATGAAGAGTCCTACAGAGACCAACCCACCTAGATATCTTAATCCTAGGCCTGAGGCCTGCAGAACTCTAAAAGACTAAGTTTTGGCACCTGTGTGGTGGCAGTTTGCTACGGCAGTCATGATAATGCAGCTGGGTACTCAGGTGGAGAGGGAAAATGCCAGGAAAACCAACGTGGCCTGTCCTGATCCTTTCATATTCAGTAATGCAGATTGGTTTCCACTTCCACCTGCTTAGATCATATCCACAATATCAAGGAGGGGTTTTCTCACCTGCTCCTTGAACAGCTCCCGAAGGATCCTCATGCACTGCTGCAACACCTGCTTGTCATCCATGGTCCTGAGGGATGCAACTGCCTCCCCTGTGATCACCGACATCAGTACACTTTGCTGCTTTTGCAGGCACACGGGGAAAAGCACAAGACAGTTGCTGTAAAGGCTCAGTTCCACACACAAGGGCCTTATTCTCCTAAGCTGAATTTCATTGTGTCCCACTGTTCTTTATCTTCAATGCCTATCCATTTCCATGCACATTACTCATCCCCCTACCTACACACACACACTACAGTCCCCTGTTGGAAAGAAGTAAACACTCATGAAATAAAATGTCAAATTAAAGGTTCCCTTATCTGGTTATGAAATTTCGTTTGAGATGCAGCAGAAAGATTGAGAAAGAAATCCACAGGAATAATTAAAACCTTCCATGGCTCCCACATGAAAACCCCCTTAAAGTATTTCTTCAAAGTGAGGAAAAGTAGGCAGCGGTAGCTGGGTCCCTTGGTTTCGGCAGCACAGCTACAAGGGATGTTCCTAGAGCTTTCTGTTCCAGGGCGGTAACTGGTTTCTACCCTTCACATCTACTCCCATCACAGACCTCCCATCCCCACCCTAGCTCAGTAGAGCCAACAGTTAGGAAATGTGGTCCACTTATTTACTGTGCTGTCGCTGGGACCTTACCTGAGCAATTCACTTTCAACCTGCAAGAAGCTCTCATGGGCATCAGGTCAGACCCCAGAGAGCAGAACTGATGCTTTTAAGAAAGCAGCAAGGACTGGACTTCTTTCTAAAGGAAAAATCCCAGTAAATGTACCCTCCCAGAATATAAGCATACCACAATCTGTACAATCATGATTGATTCCTGCAAACAGCACATAATTCACAAACCCTAACCTTCAAGAAAGGAATTCAAATCACACCACAAAATTTTACCTGAGGGTCCATGTCGTAGTATATAGCAAAGAGCCCTCGCTGGCTGGCACTGGGAGGAACATGACCAAAAAAGTCAGCCCCTTGAACTTTACTGTCCCAAAATCTATATGGAAACTGCAAGGCAATCTGGAAAGCAAGCAGAGAGAAAGTTAAGCACTCCCTGTGTCAGCTACATGCCATTCTCTAAACACAACACAGAAACTACTTGTTTGTACTCAGAAACAACTATACTAGGTTCAAAACTCCACCTATTTAGCCCTGAGCTTCTATAATCTATACACCATTTAAAAGGCCTTGTAGTATCTGCAGACTACTAAAGGAGACCAAAAACAAAACAAAACAAAAAAAACAAAAAACCCAAAAAACAAAACCAAAACCACTGGGCTCACTGGAACCAAGAGAGTCAGAGAGAATGGACACAGGAAACAAAACAAAGTAAGAACTGCCTATAACAAAGTCAAACTTGCAGAACAAGACTCTTTCCCTGCCAGGCATGGTAGGCAAGTGGATAATCTCAGCACTTGATAGATGGAGGCAGGAAGATGAGAACTTCAAATCTACCCCTAGCTACATAGTTTGAAGGCAGTTTAGACTACATGAGAGCATTGACTCTCCTAAAAGTCAAAATGGAATTCACTTGGCCTTTTTTTAATATAAATTATATCAGAAATTTTAAAATAAGGCTAAACTTTTTCTTAATATCCTCCCCCCATTTTTAACTAAGTAAATTGGTTCTTTGACAACTCATACATGTATATAAAACATTCTGTTTACTCTTAGTCCCTTTTATTTGCCTAACTGTACACAAAAGGTTATTATTCAAACAAAACTGTCAGCCAGCACTGATCTCTGAGTTCTGAAGCTAAGATAATTTAGGTCACCTTTTCAATGATGCCTGCGCCCAAGCTGTTGATGGCCTTCATCTTCTTCTCTGACAATGGTGGATTAAACTGGATGGCACCTCTCTGCAGTATGGACAATGGTACAGTGACTAATACCTGTGGGGAACAATTAAGACAGCATCTGAAACCACCCACACTTCTCAGTGGCTCATACCAAAACCTGAACATTTCTCTCTGCTCTACTTCCAGTTGTAAAACTGTCAACATCCCACTTTATGTTCTAAGAATAAGGGGTGCTATGTGAGATCACACAGGGTGTTGATTGCACAACAGTGCCTAGCTGGACAGAAGTAGCATCCACACAGAAATGTACATACAGAACCTTCTTGATGGCTAATGATAACACTGGGTCAGGAGTGTAGCATACTTCATCTTTGCAAAGAAGCACTATTTATGGAAATGGCCTAGCCAAGCATGGTGCTAAACACTTGTAATCCCAGCACTCCAGAGGTACAGACAAGAGGATATAGTGAGATCTTGATCACAAAAATGAAGAAAAGGAGGGGGAAGGGAGGGCCCAAAATAATCAGAGCTTGTTCTGTCATTTTCAATACTATCCCTGTCAACAGTCTATACAATAAAGGAAACGCTTGCCCCTACTGACCTCAGAATCAGAGTACTACTTAAAACTAGGAAGTAACAATATGTCCCGTAATTGAGAAGCATATCATAAAGTATTAGGTTATACACTATGTAACTACGTGAGAACTTTTTAAGCAGTAAGCACTTTACTACAAGGTCTCAAAGTAGTTTTAAATAAAGGTCAAATTGAACTCTCTGCTGGGTATAGCAGAGATAGCACACACCTATAATACTAGCACTTAGAAGGTTAAGGCCAATCAAGGCTACACACCAAGGACCTACTGGGAAAAAATTACAGAACCCTTGAGACTACATAATAAAAACAAGCCATCAAGGATAACTGCTGTCTTACCTTACCATTCAGAAAATTCTAGTTCCAGAATCAGCCAAGAAGTCATTAGTACTGCTACCTACATATAGAAATACCTAACTCAGCAAAAACAGTTGTCTCCTGCCCTGCCTTTTGACTTTGTGGGACCTCCACTATCCCTGCTACAGCAGAACCAAGTACCTTAACCACTGTGCTGTTAGCAGAGGCAGCGATTGTAAGTCAAAGCCAGGCAGGCTACACCTCCCAGATGTGTATATGACTGGTTAATGTCACAAGGAAAACCTTAGCAGCAAGGGAGTCTGTAAGAAGAGGGAGGGAAGGAAATATCTCTGCCTTTCAGTATCCATAGGACTAGATGAGACAATGCAGGTGGAATGCAACTGAACTCTCACTATTTACTCCCCTCCTCAAATATTACATATATGTGGTTTACTACCAAATCCAGAATCAAAGCAAGCCCAGAGTTCTTCTGGGAGTTTTGTTATACTTTCTGCCATCTCAAAGCCTTAAATTATAAAATATGTTGGCTCTCCTAAAGCTTAAAATCTATTCACACATGTATTAGCATCTACATGAACAAAATAGTCATTGCCAAACAACAGCTGACATGACAACTGCAAAAAATTAAGTAAAACTTAGAAGTCTTACTAACAAAATTTTCAAGCTTTTGAGTAAGCCATTCGGCCAGTGGTATAAACTCACCCTAGTTGGACAATGAGGCTCATTCTCTGCGAAAGCAACCTGGATTGAGTTACAGTCTGTCACAAGTTTTTAATCTCCCCAGCTGGGTCGCAAAGCTTTCACTCACATGTTCAAGAAGACATCCAGTACAAACTGTGATGTGATGAGTACTAGTCATATAATAAAAACATTTGCTCTAAACATTTCAAAGTACAAAGGCTCAGGAGTGCATGTGTCTAGCCAACAACAGAGGGTGAGGGTGACCAGGTAGGGAAACGCCAAGTACCATGTTGTCCTAGACACTAAGATGCAGACACACAGAACTCCCTTCCAGCGAGCTGATGACAGTAGCTTTAAGACACCCACAAACCCATTGCATCTCTAGGTTCTGTCCTCCCTGTGTGACATGGAATCCTTTATTTTTGTGTCAATATTCAGGACTGTGAACAGATGTCAGATAACAAAGAGGACAAAGCAAAGCTAACCTGCCAACAGGTGACAGGGTCCAACTCTAGAAATAACCAAGCTTTCAGGGTTTATCAATCCCTACCGAGTAACTGCCTTTATTTTCCAGTACTAGGCTTCACATTGTGATGTCAGGAACTAGACTCAGCACCTTGCACTCTCACCCACTGAAGCTGTTTACCAGAAATTCAAGGTACATCAAAGCACGTACACTCTCCATGTGCACAGTTGCAAGACAAAAATCTGAATTTGGAAAGGGTTCCATGGTAAAAGTACAGAATTGAAGTAACAGGTCTCTTCAGTGCACAACTTCTCCAAGCCATTTCAGCATCCCTTTCAACCCTAAGGGGGTTGTGTTATATAAGACTTCCCAAACTCATGTGACCAAGGCATTTTCAGGAGGAAGACTGGAGATGACATCCAGCTCCTCATTTGTCAACCCTGGGAATTTTTTTATTCAGTTATTAGGACCAATGTACTACAGAACCCACTTTAAGGAACACACAGTTCCACCTGCCACCTGTTTAGATGGTGCTTGACTATTTCAGATTTGTAAGCTACCCACAACTTGTGGGTAGACCTACTTTATTAGAAACCAACAAGTCTCTAGGCAGACTGCCAAGGACAAACTGCTTGATGGCAAAGACAGTTCTCTTCTCCACAGGCCCTTGGCAGTATGGTGTTCTATCCTAGTAGGATCCCAGCACCTACCTTTTGTGCAGAATGCCCTATACCATCTGTCGTGGTAACTTGTACTTCATCTCCAGTATAATCTATACTCTGCACCTGTTCAAGACAAACATTTAGAAACAATGTGAGGGTCAGGGCCTTTCCTACTACCATTGGTCATACGCTCACACGTGTGTGTGTGTGTGTGTGTGTGTGTGTGTGTGCCTGTGCATGCGTGCGTGTGCACGTACTACTGAAGCTATGTGGATCAGTGAGTGCTGGGCATGCAGCAATCTTGAGTATGTACAGCTGAATTTGAGGTTAAAGTTTATAAACATGTTAGGCTAATGGAAAACCCTTTATTATAGCACAAGTAAGACAGGTCATTTCTGAAACTTGATGATGTAAGCCCACTGGGATGAAGAACTGAAGTGTTGAGTTAGGGTTAGTGAGGTCATGAGCTACTCAAACACTGTATTATTATTATTAGTGAACTGTGCCCAGGACACTCTAGTTTCCAAACCTTAGGCAATGCTTAACTGACTGGATGTGTTGATTCTTAGGCTACATTTGCACCCTCAAAGTGTTGGGAGATACTGGCCAACTGTCCAAACACTTACCTCCTGAGAATCACAGTCCCAAAACTACAGCCTCCCAAAACTTCACATCCTTCCCAAGCAAGCAAAAAAACGAGAGCTTCCCACCATCCAAACTCACCGGAGACTTGAGGCGAATGTCCAGTCCTTCAGCCAGTTTTTCAATGATAGTGGAGTATCCAGGAGTTAGAAGAGTATGGTCACCAGCAAACTGGGCAAAGAATTCATTATGGTCCCAGGAGCGAGCAGACACCTGGGAAACAATACAACATGTTAGGAAGCCATGATGTAAACCTACAAGCTGTCCCTGAGGACATCAAAAGGAAGCTCCAGGTGGGAAAAAACATCCAAGGCAAGAGGACAGAGTACCAATCACAGAGGAGGTGAGGACAACCAACAGCCCCAGTGTACAACACTGTCCGGGCAGGACAAACTCGGACACACAGAAAAGCTTCCTTTAGAATGAAAAGTCTAAACAAACATGTTGGCTCATGACTCTAATTCTAGCACTTAGAAAACTGAGGCACTGTCCTAAATTCCAGGCCAGAGACTATGGAGTGAGACTTTGTCTCAAAACAAATACATTGGACAGCACCTGAGGAACAGTATCAGAGGTTCTATGGCCTACCCATGCACGTGTACATCCACACATGACAACTGAGAGACGAAGGTTTAAATAATATGAGAATGGGTACCAACCATTGATTTAAAACAAAAAAAGAAAAAATGTTCATTTTATACATAGCTGAAGGGGACTCCTGCAGTGGGGGCTCCCTCCCAGACCCTGGATACAAGCCACACCCAAACACCTGTTTTCCCAGAGAGATCCTTTATTCACAGGGGAAGAAAAGTAAACGTGGCTGCTCTCTGACTCAGGAGAAAACAGCAGCAAATGACCTGGCAGGTGTCATTTTTAAGAGGAGAAGAGAGGGGAGGTCTGTGTTAGAATGGGCTAGGATGCTGTGGTAAAAAGGAGAAGGGGACAAGGGAGAAGGGGAAAGGAACAAGGAAGAGGGACGGGCATTTGTCTCAGAGGGACAAAGGATGCCTCTGGGTAGAAGGGAGACAGACGTGGCCCACAGGCAAATGACGGTTTATAAAGGTAAACCTGAGCAGTGGATCAGTGTTTATCCCTGGAATACAAACAGACATCGTGTGTCCATAGCACAAGGAGGGATGCTCTCTCTGCCTGGACTCTTAGGGGAGTGCCTGGACCCTACCCTGAGTGAAGTGACAGACTCTAGATATCCCCTATGCGGAAGGAATTGGCAATAGGGTGGGAGGATGGGGGGGATGGGGGGGGTGCAGGAGGAGGGGAGGGAGAGGGAACTGGGATTGACATGTAAAACAAGCTATTTAAAATTAAAATAAAAAAATAAAGGTAAACCCCATGGTAGGATGAAGTGTTTAATTTTTTTTTTTTAATTTTTCGAGACAGGGTTTCTCTGTATTGTTTGTTTGTTTGTTTTTTTTTTTTTGGTTTTTCGAGACAGGGTTTCTCTGTGGCTTTGGAGGCTGTCCTGGAACTAGCTCTTGTAGACCAGGCTGGCCTCGAACTCACAGAGATCCGCCTGCCTCTGCCTCCCGAGTGCTGGGATTAAAGGCGTGCGCCACCAATGCCCGGCTTCTCTGTATTGTTTTGGAGCCTGTCCTGGAACTTGCTCTGTAGATCAGGCTGGTCTCGAACTCACAGAGATCCACCCGCCTCTGCCTCCCAAGTGCCAGGATTAAAGGCGTGCACCACCAACACCCGGCAAAGTGTTTAATTTTATTTGGGCACATTAATTAGGTGAACCAAAGGGGGCTTCTGATTCCTGGACCTTGGTAGTCAGCCTCAGGAAGAGGGAGTGGCCAAATAAGGAAATAGACCTTGTTGTCTAGCTTTAGGAATATAATGTAATGGTTTTTAGCAAGGCAGAGGGAGAAGGCAAACCAAGGGGAAGGGCAAGACCTGCCAGAGCCACATGTTTGAGTGAGCTATGTCCCTTCATCACCAACTCTGGCAAGGCAAATTGTACGCAGGTCAAACTGCATTGTTCAACTCCACAGGAAAATACGCCAAACTTCTCTCCTCAACACGGGTAAGAGGAGGCCTCTATAGAGGCCAAGACCCAGCATACTTGGGGGAAATGGTTCAATTCAAATTGTAATGCAGAGTAGCATGGAGGTGGAGGTGTCCTCACGACCGACCGTGCTTCTAAGCAGGTAGTGGAGCTCTACATCACAGCTGGTTAAATGCGTTGGGCAAACCTGAAATTTACTTCTACAAAACAAACAGAACAAAATTGTAATGCTACATTATTTTGGTTTCCTGGAGTAGTGTTTTTACACATGTCTCTGCACCCTCAGCACTGAGATCATGAGCACATGCCACTATGTCTGGCCTTCCCATGGGTGCTGGGGATCCAGACGCAGACCCACGTGCTTCTGCGGTAGCACTTCTTTCTCTGGGTGAGCCAGCGCCCCAGCTGCACGCCAGGGTGGTTCAGGACACAGGCTCACCTGCTGCAGGCTGCTGCCACAGGCGTACTCCAGGTTACTCAGGTGGAACTGCAGCACCTGGCCCTCCAGCTCGCTGAACTGGATGCCAGATTCCTTCACAAACACTCGGTAGATCTCTTCTATCTTCTCTGTGGTAGGAATGGATCAGAGCAAAAAAAAAAAAAAAAAAAAAAAAATCAGCTGAGAAGTAATTTCCTGTCCAAATCCGGATCTTGCTTTTCCCAACAGAGCCCAAAACTTCCAGTCTTCCCAAGCAAACCCAAGAGTAAGTAATAAGCAATAAGCTCTTGATGGGGCCGAGTCCTCGACAAGCAAACACTTAATCTTAATGGAAAGAAAACTACAGAGGAAGCTGTTCATGAAACATGTCAAGTTCCTGATTAGTTGAGAAACTGTTTCCTCCCTGCTCAAGATGTGGACAAAAGAATCCTACACATGCAAAGACAGGCTTACCATGCCCTTTCTGCTGGGACTGCCATGGCATTGGCATTCCCACACCTCCCTTACAAATGGAGGAATACAAGACTGCTAGGCTGCAGTTTCTACTGTGGCCTTTTGCTGTGTCAGCCATATTCCTTAAAACCATTAATGAATCCCTGTTGCAACAGACAATTAAGTTCCAAAAGCTGACTGAGCAGGGTGGGCACCTGCTGGCTTCACCCATGTAGCAACTTTGAGGCTTGGCCACACAGTTCTCCCAGGGTAAGGTTAGCCCTGCTGGCCTTGCTTCTCCTGCGGTCTAGTTTAAGTACGCCCTTCAGCACCTGGATCCCCCTGCCTTACAGTCTAGTGTTATCTAGCGGCTGCCTCAGCCTCCCCAGTGCTGGGTTTCAGGCCTGTGCTTCAATTGCAGCACTTACCTATGCCATTCTACTGGAATTTTAACTATAGGCATTCCTGTGGAATTGTTCTAGTTGGCTTAGACAATAACAAGAGTGGGTGCACACTTGGTGTCTGAGGACTCTGGCCTCATGTCTAATTGTAAGCATCTTAGTACAGAGGTTGCCCCTATTTAGTGACCATAATCACTCACATGTTTCTGTGAAGTGCTGTGTACCTATCTGTACAACCACTCCTGAGCACCTGTTTTGTTTTCAGCCATGGAAAACTGACTCAGCACCTAGGGTGGGGTAGACAAATGGTCTCCTACTAAGCACCAGTCTGAGCCCTCGGGCTTTCTGAGACAAGGTACATATGTATTAACAGTACACAGCTGTGTGTGTGTGTGTGTGTGTGTGTAACTGGAGATCATGACTCTGCCTCAACTCCAAATTCTCACTAGCATGTTGTAATTCTTAACTAATTTATCGAGATAGCCAAGGCTCCTGGGTTTGTGCCAGGTTTCTGCCTGGTGTCTTGAGCTCTTTGTCACTTTCAGGGCCCTTTGTGGCAGCCCCATTCTTGCCTGCTGACAGAGTCTCTACATTCCTGTCACTTTGTGGAAAGGAAAGAAACAGCATTGTTTACAGCCCAGAATGAAATTAAGCATAAGCAGACTAAGAGAGGCGTTAACCTAATTTTTACATAAGTAATCTTTTAAAATTTTTGTACACAGTCCTTGTGAAATGACCTCTAGTCCCAAAGCATACACACACACACTCTCTCTCTGTCTCTCTCTCACTACAGTGAGAGTACAAACAACTGAGCTGATAGGCAGACTATAACCATAACTCCATACAGATATATATGCATTAGCAAAACTTTTAAAAATAAATGTTAAGCTTAAGCAATTACTTATAAATTATTCTTGGGCCTCCTTTAACTTTTTAAAGCAAGGCCAAGAGAAAAAGCTGTAACAAGGTGGGTAACTAAGAAAGAAGTGTAAAGAGAACCCAGCCAGTGTCTACCATACAGGTGTAAAACATTGAGAAGAGATTTGGGTGTGATGACATCATCTAAAATCCCAGCATTCTGGAGGCTGAGGCAGGAGGATCCCAAGTTCAAGGCCAGCCTGGGCTGCATGGTGAGACTATCTCAAAACGAAAAGAAGTAAAATTTGGAGACTTAAGTCAGGCTAGTAATTTCAGTTCCAACAGGTTAGCAGCTGATCAACTGGTCTGAGTACTACACATCTGATTCAGTGGCCCTGCTGTCTGGGGGGCATTTCTGGAAATTCTGTCATGGTTCGTCTTTTTTCCAACAGGGATCTGACTGTGAGTCAGGTCTCTCAAAGTTGGCAGAGGAGCAGTGTCTACTTTTAATTATCAACTTGATACAAAGTAGCATTTCCTGGGAAGGGAAGCCATTCAGTGAGGATTACACACACCAGGATGTCTGGGGGGATTGTCTCAGCTTCCTAATGGATCTGGGCAAACAAACCCTGAAAGTGGGCGGCACTCTTCCTGCGTTGAGGGACAGGGACTGTATTATTAGTGTACAAACGCCAAGCTGAGCAGAAAGCACTTGTGCGTTTCTTTTTCTTTGCTCTCGAGTGTGGATGCAGTGACTTTCCTGCTATGAGGGACTACAGCCTAAGCTACATAAACCCCTTCTCTCCTAAGCTGCTTTTTGTCAGCGTATATCACAGAAAAGCAAGGAAACTCAAAAGCACTTAGCTACATTATCAGCTGAAGAACTGACAACACGCTTGTCAAAATACATAGTTCAAATACAGACTTCAAATATTCGCACTTCAAAAAATACCATGCCTCCAAGAACTACAAATGAAAAATGCAGATCACAAAGTTGGGGTTACATAAACAGAAATGTAAGGTCCCAGCTGGTACCCTTAGGGAAATGGGTCGCACAGGCAGTCAAGGGCTTGAGAGTTGTGATTACTATTGCCCACTTAAGTACCACAGTCAAAGTTCTGATTTTATATCCTTACTTTAAAACATGCATTAAGCAAAACATGCTAAAAAAACAAACAAAAAAAACCCCACCAACTTATCTATTACAACTGAAGTCAAAGAAAGGAAAGAAATCCTGATACTCAGAAACCTTCAGAAAGCATATATGTGCCAACAACTGTAACCATATACATGGAGGGATATCACAGGTTTCTATAAAAGTAACTTTCTCTGGGAGACTGAAATAAAAGTTTAGATAATCTTGTTAAACAATATACCAACTCAAAGTAAGGTTCGTGTGTGTGTGTGTGTGTGTGTGTGTGTGTGTGTGTGCGTGTCTGTGTCTGTGCGCATGCGCCCATGCACACCAATGCCAAAGGTCCCCAGGGAAGTTCTGCCCACCTCTGAGAAAATCTGCAGTGTTCGGTGAGAGTAATATATACGAAGACTGGCCCTCCTGCAGACACTACGAGGGAACCATCACACCACCATTCTCCCCATACCTCCTAAAGGGACATCTTGGAGCAGAGTCTTATCCTTCCTCCACTCAGAGACAACATCCAAGAAAGCATTAAAATGAAAATCCATGCGCTTGTCAATAGTGGGGTCAGTTATCCGTCCACCTTCCTGAATTAAGTCACATCTTTCTCCCAACTTATGCATGCTGATGCCAAGCTTCAAAATAACAAGAAGAACAGGGTGAAAGTCTTTCCTGGAAAAAAATATCTACAAGTTCTAAGCTGAAGTTAGGCAGCGCTCTTGTGAGAAGAGCCTAAGAACTCAAAACCAGAGGCTGTGTGCTCACAGGGGACAGCAGAGCGAGGAAACAGAAAATAGGATGAAGTCAGAAACACCCCACTTTATGGGCTATGAGGGTGACAACAACACCTGGCAATGCACTCTAACTTCTTGGCTCATGTTTCAGGTGCTGTGGATTACCTGTCCTTATTAAACATTCTGTCTCTACTTCAGATCTTCACGCAAATGATCATATACACTCAGAGAAGCCGAAACCTTGCTGGGAAAAACAGTCACCTTAGACCTACCAGGCTGGCAAGACAATAGACAGGGTGCTATGAGATTGACTTTTGGGGAAATACCATTCTATTTAAAGTATTAATTATGCCCCAAATGTTACATGTAAGTTACCTCATGTAATATTTGGGACATACTTAAACTAAAAAATAATTACTTGTTTGAAAGACAAACTTACCTAAGAGCCCTATATTTTCCGCTGCTATGTCTAGCAATCCTAGGTTTGATTATGAACTAACTAAGTGGCCTGAAAATGACCCACAAATAAAAGATCTTGGGGAAAGGCTTTTAAGTGCCTACTGGGAAAGGCATATGTGTAACCATTCTTATATACTGGGCAGAGGGTATGAAGGAAGTTATGCATGCTGTCTACTCTGGAAGCAAATTAATATACCCTAAGCCCACGCCCAGCACTGAGGATGGAACTCAGTGCCTCACACATGCTAGACAGGTGCTTTATTACCACAGGGCCATCCCCATCTCATATCAACACCCTATGCCAACAGAGATAACGTTTCTCTTTGCCTACATACCAGTCCTTCAAGACACTCACTTGCTCACACATTAGTGCTACTGGGTTATTAATGCAGCCATTGACAATCTGGGGTCCTCTTCCCACTACGACGCCTTTGAAAGACTTATCATCCCATACTCGGCCTCCAATTCGATCTTTGGCTTCCAGAACAGTCACCTAAAAAGATAATTGGGGAATCTAAACAGAGCAGTCACACCAGATGCAAAATTACAACAATGTTGAGTGACAGTGTTAAACACTCCATGCTTAGACACTGTCATATTTCTACAGAAACAATTACAACTTCGTATGAAGAGAACCCAGGTACACATTTAAACCAGCTTAGCTTTAGTGGGTGGGTAGTCTTCCACCAGAGTGAGACTCTATCTCAGATAATAAAAAGAGATTTGGTTAATGAGTAAATTCATCACTGAAACTATAAACAGCATTCTACAATCATTAAAATTTTTTTAATGTATTTTGTTAAAATACACCACATGCAATACAGTGCCATTAGAGGTCAGAAGAGGTTATCAGATCCCCTTGTAACTGGAGTTACAGTTAGTTGTGAGCCACAATGTGAGCACTGGGAATTAAACCTAGGTCCTCTGTCCTCTATAAGAGTAACCAGTGCTCTTACCCACTGACCCAACTCTCCAGCCCCTATGTGAGTTTTTTTCTTTTTCCAATTTTAATTGGTGTGGCAGTGGGCATATTTATGTGTATACATATATGGTTCAGGTATGCTTGACCATATTTTTTGAAACAGGCTATCTCTCAATGAACCTGGAGCTCTCCCTTGTACCTTAACTGGCTGGCCAGCAATCTCCTAGATTCACCTTGCTTCTACTCTCCCAGTATGCTGGGATTATAGACACATGCTGCCACATCTAGCATTTATATGAATGTAGGGAATCTGAACTCAATTTTTCATGCTTACACAGTAAACAATTTATCTGCATAGCCAAGTCCCTAGAAATCACATTAAAGCATAGCCTAAGTCATGAATGGTGGCAAGTGCCTGTAAACCCAGCTTTTTGGAGGTTGAGGTAGGAAGCTCAATTGTGAGGCCATTTTGGATTACATCATGGGGATTCCCTGTCAACCAAAGCAAACAAGAACTATGTTCAAGAGCTGAATTTTCCATGAAATACCTATTCCTCATTATTGCTAGGACCTTTTCAACTATGTAAGTATGTCCTTAACTGTAGCATGAATTGTAGTTGATATTAATAATAAAAACCCAGAGACAGATATTGGGGTTAATGCTGAAGACCAGAGAAGCAAAGCAGTCAACCACTAGAGAGCTCTCACCTCTACCCATGCTCAGACCAAAGGGGTGATCCCGTCCTCAGACTGCGTCTCTAGACTGCATCTGTCTCCACCAAATCTCAGACTGCACTGAACTCTTGTCTCCTCCCACCTTATATTCCTCTCTGTCCCAAATGCTGAGGTCACCTTTGTGTGAGCTCTTTCTCTTTAGACTGAATCAGTTTTGTGTAACTCAGGGTGGCCTTGAACTCAAAGAGATCCACCTGTCTCTATTTCCCGAGTGTTGGGATTAAAAGCATACACTACCACTGCCTTGACTCTATGGCTAACTATTGTGGCTAGCTCTGCACTCTGATCTTCAGGCAAACTTTGTTAGATCATAAACAAAATATCACCATACCACACTTAACAATCAGCCAACTCCAGTGAGTCCCACACCCATCTCCAAGTTTCTAATGCCAGTGAGATGCAGAACTGCTCTCCGGGAGCAGGCAAGGTCTGTATGTAACACCAGGACTCCAAGTGCCCTTGCCCTGGGGGTTGCAGTAGGTGCAATGTGAGTGCTCCTTGCTGCAGTAGCAGTCATTCACCTCGGGACCCTCATAAGCACTACTCTGAATTGCTGGCTCCCAGTTCCCCACTGCTCAGGTTACCCAGAGCACTCTACGGTCTAACCTTAAGGGGGATGGATGGTCTCCTAGGCTATCTCAATCACTTGAGAGAGTAATGAGTCCTCTGGGCATTGTTGCCCCACCCTCTTTCTCTGATTTTCATTTAATAGCAAGCCACGTGTTTCTCTCTTTTTAGTATACAAGGGCTAAACATTAAAGGCAGCCTCCCCAGACTTGGATATTAATAGCTTTACCTGTAATATAATCTCTAGGTTTCCCAAGTAAAAAGCAAACAAGAGACAATGAGCCTAACATCTAATACTAAAATAAAACAAACACATTCTATAGCTCACAGAAGGGATTTCCTGCCACAAACACTTCCTCTAACCCAACTGACTTTCCTGTCTTGCCAGTTGTGTGACAAGATCCACAATGTGAGTCCTCTGTCTACCTGGGACAAAAAAAATCTTTTAGGTGTGGCTATTGAACACTTCTCTGACAACCTGAAATGTAACTTTGAACACCTTATCAAAAAGAAGGTACTGTCTAAATCTTAAATTATATTTAACCTGCCTGGCATGCCTTTAATCCCAGTACTTGGGAAGCAGAGGCAGGAAGATTTCTTGAGTTCGAGGCCAGCCTGGTCTATAAAGTGAGTTTCAGGAGAGTCAAGGCAACACAGAGAAACCTTGTCACAAAAAAGAAAAAACAAACAAAAACTGTATTTAGTTTTGCCTTCATTGAAAACCAAAGTCCTTGCAAAGTTTTAAACAGAAGAATGTGTCCAACTTAGCAAATCAGAGAAAGCTAGGGGAAGGTTCCTGATTTGATAAAAATGATACCAAATTCTGAGACAGAGTCTCACTATGTAGTCCTGACTGGCCTAGAACCAGGACGTCCTCCAACTCAGATTCACCTGCCCTCTGTCTCCTTAGTGCTGAGATTAAAGTTGTGTACCTCTGTATCCAACTGAACCATGTCATCCCACCCTAGCAGTCTCTATCTTGGCTGTGAGCTGGAGTAGGGCATTTACCAGCAATTGGCACATTGTTCTCTCTCCCTAGGTGCTAAGAAATCAGAATTCTAGCTGAGCCATGTGGTCACTCCATCCTGCTCTCAAAAGCCACGGCTTTCGTTTGTTCTGAGAAAGATTCCGAGGATAACTGGTTTGCATAAAGACATCTGAGGGCTAGAGCAGAGTGTCTGCCTAGCATAACAGAAGCCCTGGGTTCCATGCTCAATGATGGGGAGCTGAGGGGGAGAAAAGGAGAAAAGCTACCTGGGTGTTTCAAAACTCCCCCAACAGACAGTGAATTTCTGTGCTTTCATTTGTTGCCCCAAACTATCCCATCACCTCCACTGGTTAATAAACTGCCAAGAACTGTGGATTCCAGGTTAGAATATCTGAGTTCCTTCCTGTAGTCTAGTACTCTCCAAGTTCTACCTGCTCTGACTGTAAAAAAGATGAGGTCTTTAATGTCAGCACCCGAGAGGCAGGCATGTGATTCCAGTTCTAGGCTAGCTTGGGCTACATAGTGAGACCTTGTCTCAAAGCAGTGTGCTTCACTAAATTTAGGAACTTGTCTTATAAAATTTGGAGCAAAGGCACAGTGAACCATCTGTCCCCTCCCCCAATTCCCCAGAGTCTCACCTTCATCCCAAAGTTGTGTAGTTGCCTAGCAGCTGCTAAGCCTGCTGGACCAGCCCCAACAACCAGAACTGATTTCTTCAAAAGGGAAAAACAAAACACAAAACTCTAGTTAGAACAGTGGTGACAAAGTGCTGTTACAGTTGCTCTGGAAGGTTCTACCTGCCAAGCAGTGCTAGTCTGCATTTCTTTGGTGTCACTAGGATTTGTTTTCTTCCAGTACATGATGGTACCTGTCTTAAGTCATGTCTTTTTTTCTTACAGCCTGGAGAAACTGTGCTTCTAGTCTCTTCCATGGGCAAAGTCTTCACAAGTCTTCCTTCTGGTTTCTAGCTCTATCTTAGCAACACACTGGTCTCTAACCACAATCAAACGCAGAGCTACTATGCAGCCCGTTGCTTACATTGTGGTAGTGTTTAGGAAGAAGATGCTGGCCGGCTCCCACGATGAGAACTCCTGTGTTGATGAGGCCTTTCCTCGTCATAAAGTAAAGAATCCTCTCCACTTCCTGAACGCAGCGAATGCGCACAAGGCCCCGGACGATGATGTGGGGAATGCACTTCTGAGGGGTAAGAGCTTCCTGTGTTTACGAAGAAACCAAAACAGCAGCAGGAAAGTCACCAATTGAAAAACAAACAAAATCTAAAACAACAAAAACTAGAGCTAAGTTTATTTTTACATTTTGTTGTTGAATGAGGTTCTCACTTTGTAGCTTTAGGTGGCCTGGAACTCATTACGCAAACCAAGCTGGTCTTGAACTCACAGAGATCTGTTGGCCTCTACCTCCCAAGTGCTGGAATTAAAGGTGAGTGTCACATGGCTGCCTAGTTTGCTTTCTTTAAATGTAGCATTCCTGCTCTGCTGCTTCCAGTTTACCTTCAGTCCTTCAAGCAGATGCTGTGTTGATGCCCCAAATATTTATGCAGTTCTACAGAGTTAAAAAGCACTGGCCCTGCTTGGCTAGGGACAGAGCTGAACAAAGACCTTTGCTGAAGGGCTAGAATCCCCTTTTTGATTGCTTTCTGCCTTCGGGGCAATACCCCGTACTGCTATTTGAACCAAGTCTTGCACTTTCTCATGCACTGTAGCATTCTGACTCCATATGGTCCAAAGCTGTTCTTATCAGGGGCTGACCCTGTCTCTACTTGAAAATGCCTAGACTCATCCAGATGAAGCATCTCTAATTAGAGAACATGACAACTGAACTGTTCTGAGTTCTGAGTGCCAGGAGAACATGTAAGTTTCAGATTTCAGAGCATCTGAAGGCTTTCTGGATTGGGATGCACAGCCTGGAAGCCTATTCAGAGACACTTCTGGTCCCAAGTGTCTTAGATAAGAGGTTGTCAACATGTATTCAGTTGTCTCAACATGCAAGTGGTACTGGAGCCTCCAGAGAGGCCAGGATCTGCAAATATACTCCTTTGTATATAGAACAGCCTCCCTGCTCCCTTGAGTCGTGTGCCCCAAATGGCAACAGTGCCACTCTGGAAAGCCCTTGTCTACAGGTTCTATCCCCAAGTCAAGCACTCCTTTCCTTCATTGTCGCCCTCTACTCCCATGATGCTGTGTGGCATGCTCCCACTTACTTTGCAGTTTGTGTACCACAGAGCGAGGATGAGGTTTCTCAAAGCCAGGTACATGGTGGGGTCTCGAGAGTACTCTGGAAACTCATAAAGCTCATCCAGCTCCATCACATCCGGTCTCACACACAGAGCTTTACCACACTCATTGGGCTGGTAAAATGGCTGGAAGTACCAGTTCATGCCTACAACTGACAGGTGACAAGCAGCTTCTGTAAGATGTAACTTTCAAATCTGTAAGAAGCACGCGCGCGCGCGCGCGCGCACACACACACACACACACACACACACACACACACACACACACACACACACAGGCTGGCAAGATTAAAGATTCCTACAATCAAGCCCGATAACCTTGGTTCAACCTCCAAATGGAAGGAGAGAACCTCCCATATGTGCTGTGGCACACACATAAATGTAACTTTTAGAATTAAAAGGGAACAAAAAAAAATTCACCCTTTGGCAGTTTCTGACTATAAAGTAGAATCCCTAAGCCCTGATTATGTCCCATGCTAGGCTATGTTCCAAGATCCAGAGTGTTTTATTATTAACACATTAGATGCTAGTTTTTATATAAATGCTAATAAAGGTGTTTTCAAGCCATTCCCCTCTCCTGGGCATTTACACATATTACACATACATATTATATTCACAATTATAAGCAATACAAATGCTAATTTCTTTGCACATGCAGTTTTGAACTGACTGACTTTAGGACAGCATCTTAAGAAATGGTTGCTAGTTCAAAGTCTCATTGTACCATCTTTGCTACACACTGCCAAACCGTCTTCACACAGGTATACTCCTAGTACTTGAGTGCCCAGTTCAGTGCAGTCTCAAAACACTGGGAGCTTCCACAGCAGCGCCAACTTGGACTTCCCCACATCCCCACTGTTAGGGACCATTTACTATTGGGTCTCGAATGCAAAAAATCTAGTTTCCCAATAAAAAATGTGGGGCTGTTAGAATTCTTCTGAATCCAATTAACATTCTGTCCCAACATGAAATTCTGAATATTTTAGAGTGGATCTCTACAGGGGGCAGGGTATAAGGGGAAGGAGGAGGGGGGTAAAGGGGGAAGGAGGAGGGAAGAAGAAGGAAGAGGAGAGAGGAGGAAGCAGGAAGGAAGAGGAGGAGGAGGAAGAGGAGGAGGAGGAAGAAGAAGAAGAAGAGGAAGAAGAAGAAGAAGAAGAAGAAGAAGAAGAAGAAGAAGAAGAAGAAGAAGAAGAAGAAGAAGAAGAAGAAGAAAAGAAAGCAGTGCTTGCACAGACCAAAACTTCTTTCTGATAAGTCAGAGCCTGTGAAATCAGTAAATGGCACAGTTTTCCAATTCTGAAAGAAACACTCATCAAATTCTACAAATACCAACAGTTAGGAGCTATAGGGTTTTTGTTTGTTTGGTTGGTTGGTTTTTTGAGACAGGGTTTCTCTGTATTGTTTTGGAGCCTGTTCTGGAACTCACTCCATAGACCAGGCTGGCCTCAAACTCAGAGATCCACCTGCTTCTGCCTCCTGAGTGCTGGGATTAAATGCCACCAATTCCCAGCCTAGCTATAGGTTTGCTATGGTAAGCACACATTGTATACAATGTTACATTAGATCCACTGTGTCATCCCTCCATCAGCATCCTTAGGGAATTAGTTCTAGGACCTCCTACCCCTACCCACACAAGTCTATCAAATGCTCAAGTCCCTCATTTAAATGGTGCAGTATTTGTATAAGCCCATCTCTAGATGCCCTTTTTTTTTTTTTTATGAGACAGGGTTTCTCTGTATTGTTTTGGAGGCTATCGGTCCAGCCTGGCCTCGAACTCACAGAGATCCGCCTGCCTCTGCCTCCCGAGTGCTGGGATTAAAGGTGTGCGCCACCACCGCCCGGCTTCTAGATGACCTTTAACACCTAATACAATGCAAATGCTATGGAAATGGCTGTTAGTGATCAGAAACCCTCTCTTCTGACTTCCATGGTCACACACACACACACACACACACACACACACACACACGCGCGAGATAAAATCTGTTACACCGAATCTGTATATAATGAGTACAGATAGAACTTTTTCCTAAGTAGCTCTGCATCCAGATTGGCTGAACCCATGATGTAGTGCAGGTACATATGAAGGCCAACTGCATAACCACATGCATACGACAGTGAGAGCTTTATATCATGTCCCATACATTGAAAGAGTCTTCTGCAGTTGGCTTACCCTTAAATTCTCAAGGAGGGGGCAAGGGATGGAAAGATGGGGATACCAGAACATCTCTCACCAAGTGGAGAGGAGGCCACCTTGGAGGGCTCCATCTTCTCTGGGCTGGCACTGCTGGTGGTGGTGCCTGTGGCACGGTTTGTGCTGGTACAGGAGGGGCTCATTCCAACACAGTCGGGGTAGTAGGCAGAGAGCAGTGGTGCAGCCACGCTGTCTTTCAGCAAAGGAGGCTGGATAAGCATGGAGTACCACCACTGGTTGGAAACTTCCAGCACTCTCTGGGATTATCAGTGAGGAAAAGGAGAAAGGTACATGCTGAGGGTAGACATTCATCTTTATCACAGCCTCCCGTTCCCCCCACATTCAGAGGCATTCTCAGAGTTTCATACAAAATATCAAATAAAAACAGCTCAGGATACCCAGAGACAGTCTTTCTTAGGTAAAATTCTTCCGCAAATACAGAAAGCCTCCTGAACCAAAAAACACCCACTAAACTACATAAGCATGGTGCTTCCCCAATATCCCAGGTCTGCCTCCAACAACCCCATTCCATTGCTGTAATGGTTGCATTTTAAATGGCAACCTTCTGCAAACCTTAAAAGACCTAAGGAAAGAGATTCAAATGAGGAACTGTGAGATCAGGTCAGCCTGTTAGGGACTGTCTTGACTGCTAGTTGACCCAGCCCACCATGAGTGGCACCATTCCCTAAGCTGAACACTGAACTGTGTTAAGTGTGAAGAAAATTATCTAAGGAAAAAGAGAACCAAGCAAGGATGTGTTTATTCTCTTTGCTCTTCAGTTATGATGTAACTAGCTGCTTGAGTTCCTGCCTTGATTTCCTCTCAATAGTGGACTCCAAACCTGGGACTGTACAACAAATAAACCATTTATCTCCTACACTACTTTTTGTCTGGATATTTTATCACAGCAGCAGAAATGAAAATGAGACATTTGCTCAGCTCCAAGCAAAGAATTCAGCACTGACATCCAGAAAATGGCATCTTACAAATCATGAATCTAGACTGGTTCTAGTCTATTTGCCGGATCCTGTAGGTCGGAAGGCAAACTGAGCAGACCCTGCCATCCTGAAATAACCCTCTACTTCTCTCTTTGCTGGAACCCCACATGAAGGGTAGTACTCCAAACTGGTCCCCACATTCTGTAAGTGGAACAAACAGCAACCAGTAAGCTCTTGCTAGCTGTCAGTCCTGGACGTCAGTGTAGGACTGCATCAATGGCCCACGTGGCTGGAAATACACAGCATGCCCAAGGCCAGGGTTCCTTCCCAAGCAGCACAAAAGCAAAACAATGCAAATCTTCTACCTCATGAGTATAGCAGCCTCTGTTCTAAAATCAAGGCTCAAATTTTGAGTATAAAATGGCCTTAATATTAGAGCCAATGGAGAAGGTATTCTCCCATCTTTCTATAAACCACCTGGTCCACTGCTTTACTATGGGAATGAAACTTAATAAAAACTAAAACAGAACAACTCCTTCAAAGAAGAGGCTGGATTCAAGTGGATTTAATGTGTGTCTCTTCTCCCTGTGTCTGAAGACCTACTGTGGTCCTAGAACTTGAGACAATGAGAACAAGCTCAAACTACCAGTCCTGAATCATGGAAAATCAGGACTTAGAGTTTAGCAATTTAGAATTTTCAAAATCATTTTAAACCAGATCTGGTTACAAAGCAAGTGGACTTTGCCAACTCAAGTAGAAAATTTTGCCAGAAACAGTTGGATTGCTACCTGGGCATGCTAGACCCGCTTCTTTATCTGAGCAGGGACAGGGCAGAGTGACTACTCTGTGGTTAGAAAGCACCAGAGCCCTCTCCGCTGCCAAATCCAGGCCACTACAGTCAAACCATGGCCATCCTGCTCTTTGTCTTAGAAGGACTCCATGGAGGAAAGGTCACAGACATCCTTAGCAAACAAGATTATGAAGTCTTATCCCGGCACCAAGGTGGAAGCATCTTCCTTGTTCCCTTTAGTATAAAACAATATTAACTTCAGATTCTTTTAACTGTGAGGTGATAATAAATCTATAGTACTACTACCCCCTTCACCACCTATTACTATGAGCATTTTCACAATGCAGTCACATGTTAGTCATTTACTTAGTGAACTTATCAGTAAAGGCCCAGTTAGCATGCATTCAGAACATGAAGAAGAACATAAAGAAATACTTACTAGATCCTCGGGGAGAGAACAATGATCAGGGATGTCAGTCTGCAAAAGAAAACCAAATCTAAATTAAATGTTTCCATAACATACAGTTTTAGGTGTTCATTTCCTTTCAGTATCTTTCAATATGATAGCTTCTTTTATTTTTAAACTATATAACTGGCAAAGAAAAATGTTTGACATGTCACTAGATTGACAGTGTAGGAAGATGTGTACTTTCGTCAAGATGCTCCCCCATGAAAACAAAGGGCTGTACCAGTGGTAGAGAAGGCTATGACAAGACACACATCTGGAAGACACAGAGGCCTGGCATCATTATCACATGGAACTAAAGCTGTGTATCAGATAGACATACCCAGCAATTTTCACCTTGGTGTATTTCCTAGACACCCTTTTAACATGTGTGCCAAGCAATGTACTCTAAGAAAGACCAAAGGCTGGGGATACTGCTCCTAGGAGTTTGCTTGTTTAGTATGCAGAAGCCCTGGGTTTAATCCCCAGCACTCTACCAAAGAAAACGCAAAAACAGGAAAAACATTCAAGCCAGACATGGTGGCACACAACTGTAATCTCAGCACTTGGAGGATGAGGCAGAAGGATGGAAAGTTCAAGCCTGTAGTACACAATGAGTTCAAAGCCAGCCTGGGTGATCCACAGACTCCAAACTCAGCCTGAGCTACATAGCAAAATCCAGTCCCAAATGACAGAAAAAGATAAAACAAAATTCAATGTATATATTTCTGAAGTTCAAATAAACATTTGTGACAGAAGGAAGCTAATTACAAACCAAAGTCCATCATAACAGAAGAGGTGAGTTGAAGTATATTCAAGTGATGCCATGTCACACAACAGTGAAAGAACAAATGGCAACTACATGCCCAGCACAGACGGATCTCACCAGCAGCTCTGAAACAGCACACTGCATGATTCCATTTATGTGAGATTCAAAAACAAGCAAAGCCAAATTCATAATACTGTAAGCTGGGAAAGTAAGCAGGCAATTTACTCTGGGGGAGCAAGTTTGGACACTGTTACTGGCAGGGGTCACCAGGGCACCTGCTGAGTATTTCATTTCTGAATTAGGAGTCAGAGAAGCAGGTACTTGTGAAAATTCATTGCCTGGGCATTTTGATTTGTGTGACTTCCGTTTCAACACAATGCTGCCTAGCTGAAGGTTTGGAGAACGCATCACCTAGCAGCTCTAATCTCCAGAATACATGCCAAAGAAACTTTTACATTAATAGAGACCTGAGCAAGCTAGGGCAACAACACTCCAGGAAACGCAGCAGAAACAGACAAGATTTAGAAACATACCATCTCTCCTTGAACAGGGAAGCAGGAGCTGTGCAGTAGACCCACACCATTCAGACACTACTCAGCAAGAATAAACCAGAGCTTTAGGCATCAAACGCCTTGGTGTTGAGTGAAACGAGGAGAGGATGAAGAACAAGATGTGTGTCTCACACACTGTTCTCACTGGCTGAAACACGCTAGGGCCCTCCGTAGGTCCTGCTCCCACTAGTGCAGCCTCTCAATTTGAAGGGGACTTGCCTACCCACTTTCCTGGGCCCTTGTACTTTTTTTCCTCTTCTACCATTTAGAGGCCTTCTAGCTGAAGATGAAGCTAAGAAAGAATTAATTGTGGTCTTCGATATCACTAAGTCAATTATAAGTGGTCTCATAAAATTCTAATTATAAGTGGTCTCATAAAGTGTGTGTGTGTGTGTACAGTCATACATTAGCCCAAATTAACCATGTATACACATTCCAGAATATATATGTGACTATATTTAATTTGTCAATTAAAATCAATCAACCTGGGCTACACAGAACAATAACAAACAGCTGAAAATTCTTGGCAGACGTTAAGATGCATTCCCATGGCCGGGCATTGGTGGCGCACGCCTTTAATCCCAGCACTGGGGGGGGGGGGGGGGGGGCGGCAGAGGCAGGCGGATCACTGTGAGTTCGAGACCAGCCTGGTCTGTCTACAAGAGCTAGCTCCAGGACAGCCTCCAAAGCCAGAGAAATCCTGCCTCAAAACAAAACAAAACAAAACAAAAAAGATACATCCCCATAATCCCAGTATTCAGAAGGGTGAGGCAGCAGGACCACCCCAAGTTCAAAGCTATCTCAAAGTTGCCACTATCTTGCCTTGTGTAAGACTAAGAAAATGGAAAGGGTAAATATAGACTTGGGAAATACTCAAAATGTATGCATACCTAGATTATGTAAAGAACCCCTACAAATCAGAAGGCTGACTCAATATCCAAAACTACTGAACTAACATAAGCACAGCAGAGAAACAACAGGAGGGACCACCACCACCACCACTTGTCAGAGCACAGCCAGCTGTGATTAGACAGTTCCCTCGGAATCAAGCCTCATTCTGCCACGTGACACAGGTCTACTACCAACTCACCCACACAAATGAAACACAAGGTACTCACACAGAATCACCACTAGTTTCACTCACACAGCAAACATTTCAACAAATGTCCTTCCACATAGCACCGTGGAAACAAACTGGCATGCACACAGACAATGCGACACTACTGAGAAGTATAAATAAAATATTGAACAAGCTAAGTGTGCTGTCTAGTGCCTGTATCACAGCCTTGCAAACACCGAGGCAGGGGGATAGCAAGCTAATGTCTGCTTGAAATGTACACAGTGAGCTCAAGGTTAGTCTGGGCAACTTAAGGAGACTACCTCAAAAAGAAAAAGGTACAAAGAGGACTAATTATACAGTTTGTGAGGCCCTAGGATCAATGTCTAGTATTGCAAGCAGTAGTCAAAACAAAAAGCCCTACTGATCCATACAATGTGAATGACGGGTTTTTGTTTTGTTGTTGTTGCTGCTTTTATTATTTATGTGCATTGGTGTTTTGGCATAGATGTTAGGTCCCCTGAAACTGGAGTCACAGACAGGTGTAAGTAGCCATGTGGTTGCTGGGAATTGAACCCAGGTCTTCTGGAAGAGCAGTCAGTGCTCTTAACTGTTGAGCCATCTCTCCAATCCCCTTTGTTTTATTTTAAAGTCTTTTATACAGTGAAAGACATCAAACACTGGAAGGGCATATATTGGATGATTCCAGTTTCATCACATTTGAGTCAGAAAACTAATCTATGGGGATAGAGTTAGAACAGCTAACTCTGGAATGGGGAGGAAGTAGCTAATGCTGCCCTTTAGATTGGTATTCTGGTTTCACACTGCAGACATTTTCTAAAACCCAACAAGACCCCATGTTCTATGAATAAAATTACAGTATATAGTCATCTCTCAGAAATGAAAACAAGATGCAAGTTCTCATACATTAAACATAGCACCAATATGCTTAGGGGTTAGGGTTGAGCTCCACAGTAGAGCATGTGAAAAGCTATAGGTTCAATTCCCAGCACCTCAAAACCCAAAAGTACCCACTGAACTTGGGTACAGTTTTCATACCATCACTCTGAGCCTCAGACTTTTTTTTTCTTTTTTCTCAAGACATGGCCTAATGTATTAACATAGCTTTGACTGGCCTTGAAGTCCTGATCCTTCTGCCTCCACCTCCCAAGTGCTGGAATTATAGGCATTTAGCCACCATGCCCAGCTGAGCCACATTTTTTTCCCCAAAATCTTAAAATAAGTAGTTTGGATACTCTTATTAAAGCCTTAAAAAGGAGCCTGTATCAAGCCTATGTTTAAAGCTGTACTGGAGAGATGAATGAATCATTAAGACTACCCTCCTCTAGCCCAAGTTCATACCCAGGGCCCTATGTATGCTGGGCAAGCATTAACCACTGAGCCATATTCTTCAGCACAAGAGTTTACTTCTGAAGACAGGGAAAAGATGGCTCAGAAGTTTACTTAGATGTGTTCATATTTATAAACACATCCAAACTGCTCTTCTTAAATCCAAAGGTTATAGTCGTGTAGCATTTATATACAATATACTATGTGAAAACTTAATCTGACTCATAAATATTTATATTTGTCATTTCACCTTGCAAAAGGATGTTAGGCAAGTGCTCATCACCAAACTCTCCCCATAGGCCTCAACATGGTTTTTACACACTAAGTATGGCCATTTTAATTTAACACACATGGGAGGGAGGGGTATTTTTCCTTTTGCAAAAGATAAAACCCAGGGCCACTTGAATGCTAAGCAAATGCTGTGTCCGTGAGCTACATCCCCAACCCAATAATATTTGCACTTTGAACCCTTAAGTTAAAAAAAAGCCAACAACTTTGGTCATAAATCTCACAAAACTTTGCACTTATTGTCAGAGCCCTTGGCTGGCAACGGTGGTGTGACTATACCTCAAACCTCTGAAAGCTTTAGAAATAGTATCGTTCACAATCTGCCCTGATCTTCAATTAGAAAAAATCAACAAGGGGTTGGAGAGATGGCTCAGGGGTAAAGAGCACTGACTGTTTTCTAGAGGTCCTGAGTTCAATTCCCAGCAACCACATGGTGGCTCACAACCATCTGTAATGGGATCTGGTGTCCTCTTCTGGCGTGCACTGTATACATGATAAATAAATCTTAAAAAGAACAAAACAAACTACTATTTTGATTCTGGGATTTGCTATCTAATATTCTTTAATATTCAAAGTATGAGATATTTGGGTGGACCCGTACATTTAACACATTTTAAAATACTAACTGCCAGGTATCAGCTATGGCTGATTCTTAATGGCCAATCATATCCACTCATCCTGCCCTCCTTACTGACTAAGTTCTGCTTTGTCTGGTGATGTAATATACAGGGTAACACACAGTGATGAAGCTTTTCTTCCTTTGTCCTCATGCAGTCTAGCATAGTTGTACAATTCTGTCCTAGCCGATGACACGAGTAAAACTCTAACAGGTAAGCTGTTACCCATAAGAGAGAGGCAGACTCAGCGAGTATACCACTCTTGCCCTTTGTACTTTCCTTCTCTTCTGCTCTGAATTCAGGCCCAGTGGCTGGTGATACAGCAACCCCTTGTCACTTGAGGACTGAAGACAAACTAAAGGACAAGAGACAGTGTTCTTGGGTAACTAAACCAACCTTGAATAGCCCATTACCAAACTGCCTATAGTAAAAGAAAAGTCAAATTAACTCAATTGTTAAACTGTTTACATACAGACCCGTATAACCCTATACTGGATTAACACACAAAATGAGAAAGACAGGCTACAATTACAAATACATCGATGCATAAACAAATTCAAAAGGCCACCACAGAAATCTTACCTTGGTAATAGTATTTAGTTTTATGCCACAGCGGTAAGTTCTTGCCATGTGTGGAGTAAGCTGTATTTCCTTGGTAAGCTGCCTCCACTTTCCACACTCTGGTTTTGTGCACTGTACCTACAAGGGAAATTAAGGCAAGATCAATAAGTTGCCTACCCTTGAACTATAGCATCTACTCTCCACTCACTGTACTGCCGTCTCCGTATGAATGGACCCATATTTTGAACCTAGGAATTGAACGTGGGACTTTGTGCCTGGTAGGAAACTGCTTTAGCATCCAGGTACATCCCCAAATCCCTTATCTAGTATTTCTTTCCTTTCCCTGTTTTCATCATACCCATTCTGACGTGATCAGGGTAATTCAATGTTAGCCCAGGCAACAGGATAATGAAAAAGTTTTGAAAACTTAATCAGGAAAATTTTCTGGCTGAAGCCCAAGGAAATGATGAATTAAATTTAGATACTATTACTCAAAAAGTATGGACATGAAATGTAAATTGTGATGTCCTGGCCCAGATTCTAAGTCACTGAAAGGATGAGAAATTGATAAAATTCAAATTCAGCCAGTCAATGCAGTTCTTCATACTGTATCCATGTTAACTTCTCAGTCTGAAAACAGTCATGGTATGAGTCTAGGAGCACACAGCTTTTACTGGTATCTCTGTAAGCTCCTTAAATATTCCAAAATAGAAAACTTGCATATATGAAATAGAAAACAGAAAACGTGCAATGTGGATGAATGAAGTCATATCTGCCTTCCCACATACCCAGAAATTAAAATGGATTAATGACCTAGATGTGAAATCTATTAACAGTAAAAAAATCTATGAAAACACAGAGATGGGACTTTATATGACCTCAGATTTGACAATGAGTTCCAAGCAGGGACGAAGACACAACGAAAGCATAGATAAACTGAAATTTATCAGAACTATATGATCCTTGCAAAGGAAAAACCACCTGAACAAAAAATATCTGCCAATCACAGAGCTAATGAGGGTTTATATCCAGAATGTGTAAGTAATTCTTACAAGAAAAAGCCCAACTTGAAAATGAGCAGAGTTGCATATTTGCAAATAGTCAAACAGCACGCACTGAAGAACTAAAAAACAAAACCACAGTGAGTCACCTCTTCACCACCCAAACAAAAGTTGATAAGGATGAAGGCAGGAGGGTCAGGAGTTCAAAATCATCCTTAACCACTTAGCAAGTTTGAAACCAGTCTGTTCTACATGAGACCTATTTCAAAAAAGGCAAAAATAGTAGGATGTGGTGGCACAGGCCTTTAATCCCAGCACTAGGGAGGCAGAAGCAAACGATCTCTGAGTTTGAGGAAAGCTTTGCTCTATACAGTGAGTTTCAGGCCAGCCAAGGCTACATAGTGAGACTTGTCTTTCAAACAACAACAAAAATCAAAAACAAAAAGGAGTTGGTAATGGTTCTCAGAAACCTGACCCCATGCACTGTAGACTACAGTGAAAGGTAATTGAAATGGGAAGAGTTTAGAGACTCAGGGAGTTACCAGTTTTTCAGGAGCATGGCAAGTTCAAGGCCTTCTGGGCTCAAAACAAACAGTAGGAGAAGGGCTGTGAGTGTACATTAGTAGTGCAGCACACGGCCTAGCAAGGACCACCAAAAACTAACCAGCCACAGAATGACCATACATGCCTGAGGAACTGTAGAAACCCTGTTCATACTAGCCGAAAGAGGAAACACCCAAGTGTCCATCAAAAGATGGGTGGATAAGCATGAGGCCAGATGGCAGTGTGTGACACTACTTTCTTCCTTAGACTACACTGAGTTAGCCAAGATTTCTGCACAGTTTGAAAGTATTTGCTCTAGTCAGTCTAGAAATCACCCAAGGAAAGACTTCCTGCAAAGCAATAGTCACCACAGCTGATGCTTTCAGCTCTGCAGTGCACTAGGGCAGCAGTGTCCCTTCTTACCCAGTAGGGCAGCTGCTGGTCTGCCATGAATGCCTTGACGCTCGGCTCTGTCTTGCCATTGCTGGTCCACACTCTTTTCCATGCAGTGTATTTGTCATATCCATCTTTGTGGCTGGAAACCATTCAGAAAAAAAAAAAGTCAACCTACAGATTGAGTTGTAGTTTTCAGACTCAACTTTGATCAGATTTACATAAAAGACTTCACTATTCTTAGACACACAGAGGCATGTTACAATGGCATGCCTACAACAGGCTAGCAGGAGGAGCATGCTCTGGACAGTATAGATCTATAACAAAATAAGGGCAGAGTTCCAGATGGTGGAAAACTTATTAATGTTCAGAATAAGTCCTATAGCAACCACTAAAATTTTATCAGGAAATGAAACAACATAATAAAACATTCAATTAAAACCAGAAGAAAAACAGAAAACAGAAAACCACTAGTAAAAGCCAACGCAAGGCTGAGTGGCATGAGCCTGTATAATCCACTACTCAGGGTGGAGGCACTAGGTCAGGTCCTGCCTAGGCTATGAAAATGCTCTGCAGGCCCCTCCCGGACTTCTGCACCCTATCTTCTATGCACTATGAGAGAACAGCAGTGTGGCTGAGCTCTCCAGAACTTACATACACCTAACTGTCATGGCAGACACATAGACCCGCACATATACCAACTTAGGCCACATTGTTTACTCTTGTTTCATACATGTATGCACTGTATACTGATTACATTCTGCTTTCTTACCCCTCTTCCCATCATCAGCCCCCTACTCTAGACAGTTTTGCTTCTACGTTTATCTGAGGCATACTCATGTGATTTTGATATCTATATAAAATCTAGGAACCACAAATGAGACAGTATGTATATTTATTTGGTAATTGTCTTTCAGAATTTGCCTTATTTTGACCAGTATTAGTATCTTCAGTTGCATCCATTTTCCTAGACATAATATGACTTCACTCTGAATGCATCTATTTCCCCATGTAGTCCTGTTTCTGGATACTCAGGTTCAGCCACTGTAAGTAGTGCTTACAATACTGAGCTTCTGGTCACACTTCCAGTCATTACAGGCATCGGATGACTCAGTAGCTCAGTAAACCCAGCAAGTTTTAGCTTTGTGATCGTCCTTCCCAGGCCCCTTCACATCCCTCCACCACAGAGATATCGGTGAACAAACCTTCTGTAGTAGTGGTCAAAGCATTCGTTACAGAAATGTTCCCCACAGGAAAGGTGATACCATCGGGAGGTGTAGCCGTTTTTGGCACATCTGAAAAGAACAGAATCATGCAGCTTTGGTAACAAAGACTTTTCTTCTCATTCATTCTCATTTAACCAGCCCATTTTGCAGTATCTTCACTCTAATAGCCAGGGGCTAACAAGGGAAGCTAGAATGCGTTGAAAGGTCATACAGGCTGAGAGCCCTGATCTGAAATGCTCGGGATCAAAACTGTTTTAGATTTCAGTTGTTCTGTGGGTTTTAGAATGCTTGCACCATACACAGTGAGATGCGAGGGGGATGGGACCCAACGTATACAAATATCAAGGTTATTGACACTCAATAGTTTTAGAGTTAAGCATTTTAGATTTCAGATTACAGGCATGCTTGCTACCTCAGGTACAGTGACAGTACAGGGAGGACTCAGGACAGCCAGATGTAACCTGGATGGCTGCCTGAGGCACTGGAGTCCAACCAGGACTCCAGCATGGATGGTGTTTTATGAGGCTCCGTGTGAGTGAGAAGACTGTGACAACATCTGACCAGCTGCAACCATAACAGCAGACGAACAGTCCAGCATACAGCTGGCCAAGCAGCTGATGATACAGCACAGTGACAAGTCATGGCACCATCGAAATGGCCAATTCTACGTGCAGATCCAATGGGTTTCCTTTGCTCAAATTTTATTGCCTCTTAAGCCATTACTGAAGATTTTTCTATAGAATTAAGAAGAAACCCTAACTATGTCACAACAGTCAAAAATAGTGAGACTACAGCTGGCACTGTAGGGTTTCATTTTTGTTTCGAGGCAGGGTCTCTCCTGCACCCTGGGCAGGCATACAGTTTGCTGTGTAATTGAGGAAGACCTTGAATTAACTACAGCGCTCCTGCCTCCATTGCCCAAGTGTTAGGATTACTAGCCGTGTGCTGGCATGTCCACTTTTCAGAGTACTGGGATGGAATCCAGTTCCTGGTTCATGCTAGCATGTACATGTACTGCAACTCAGCTACCTCACCCCAGCCCTGCAGTTTCTGAGGCCTATACAAGCCCATGGAAGAGGCCGGCATGCTACATGCTACATGAAGTAAATTAAAAAAGACAAAAAGCAAACATACATGGGTTCATACTAGAAGCCTGAGTCTATGGCATCCTATGCCTCGAACCTCAAGCCCCAGGACTACAGTGATGGCTGGGTGCATTTGAGGACAACTGCTACAGCACAGTTGACCTGGATGTGATCTCTCCCACTGGGCTAGAGACAACCACAGTGTCGAGGAAGCTGTGTGTGGTGACTGTCTAAGCAGTCAGAGTTAGCAGGTTACAATTCCTGCAGTTGTCTTTAGGAAGAGTGGCATGAAGGATGCCATTCCCACAAAGCACATGCTCACGTGCAGAAGCCCAAGGCCAAGGTAACCCTTCAAACAAACCTCTCAGAAGCACTTGCAAAGCACACCGGATACATTGCCGTACAGCCTGCCTTTTCGCATTTCCTGTACTTCTTTTCCGATGAACCGTCTTCATCCTCATCTGTGGTCTCTACTGCTTTCTTCTTTGCCTATAGAGAATCAGCTGAGGTCAAGATTTCACTGGTAGAGAAAGGGTGATGGTGACAGGTTTGCTGCCGAGGTCATGTGAGTTGGAAGTTCTTTTTTTTTTTTTTTTGGTTTTTACGAGACAGGGTTTCTCTGTGTTGGAGTTGGAAGTTCTAAATGCCATTATGTTTGTAGCATTAGGGATCAAAGCATGCATGCCAGGCAAACACTACCAACCGAGCTACTTCCACAGCTCCAGAAGTTCTAAATGTGAAGGTCACCAGCATCCTGACAATAGGCTATTGTTGGCCAGTGCAACAGCTTATATAAATAACGCACTGTCACCGGGTGTTGGTGGTGCAGGCCTTTAATCCCAGCACTCAGGAGGCAGAGGCAGGCAGATCTCTGTGTGTTTGAGACCAGCCTTGTCTACAGAGCGGGTTCCAGGTCAGATTCCAAAACATCACAGATAAACTCTGTCTCGAAAAGCCAAAAAAAAAAAAAAAAAAAAAAAACCCAACCCACTGTCTCATTAGAGGATCTGGAACCTTAATGATAGGTAGGTTCAGAACTAACATCCACATGAGCTTTTCTTAAGGGAAAAACTGACAGTCAAGATAAACAAGTCATTCTTGGGGACTGAAGAGATGGCTCAGCAGTTAAGAGCACTTGCTGCTCTTTAGAGGACTCAGGTTTGGTTCCCAGCACCCAAACAGCAGCTTTCAACAACAGAATACCCTCTTTTGACCTCTACGGACACTAGGCAAGCATATATATATGCATGCTGGCAAAAGGTTCATACACATAAGATTAAAAAAATCTTTTAAAAAACTCATTTACAAATTAAGAATTCTTTTTCTTCACTTAAAACAGTTAAATCTTTCAATTAGAGCACTGGACTTTTATTAAATACTTTATTACAAACAAACCTACCAACATCGCTCAAGCAATAACAAGCTCAAGTCCAAATTCCCTTGAATGGCATCCAAGCCAGGCATGACCTGGCCACGGAGTCCCAGTCTGGAAGCAGCTGCCCCAGCTGTGATTCTCCCATCCCCCCTGGCGATCCACAGTCTCCTTATCCTCCAGTTCCGGCTACACACTCCACACACCACACCATGAGCTCTAACTCTGCACACCGCCCCATCAACACCGTGTCCTTGAATGCACAGGTACAGTACCTGCCTCCCGGAGCTCCTCAAAGGCAGGCTATCCGCAGAAAGCTCCAAAGAGCCTCTCTTCCTTGCCCTCCCTCGAGGTGTTGCCATTGTTTTGGAGAATCTGGGGGGGGGGGTAAGATAAACCATTAAATTATTAGCATCTGCTGATATTTCAAGCCATTGTCGTGAGGGGATTAGCTGAGTATAAACCCCCACTTCTAGTTAATAAACCTCCTGATGTCTGCGTTGTCATGTATAAAATGAGAACAAGCCAAGCATGCTACTATGCGTCTGTAAGCCTTGAACTTGGGAGGCAGAGGCAGGAGAAGCAGAAGTTCCAAGTCATCCTCTACCACACAACAAATCCAGGCCAGTCAGGGATACGTGGGTCACCTTGTTGGTTTCTGTTATAGCACCTCCACCTAACTATGTCTTGTTAGGGTTTCCTCAATCTAGATGGTCTTAGTATAAAACTTACTCATTTCTTCTTAGTACAAGTTAACAAATACCAGGCACTGTACAGGAATACCCCTACATAGAATACAAGAATCTGGATTAGATAAAAGCACTATTATCTTCTACTAGACAAATCTTAAGAATTTTCAAACTAGTCTGTTAGCAGCATGGCTAGACAAGCATTAAGAACAAACATCGAGCTGGGTGTGGCCACTCATGCCTACAATTTCACCAGAGAAGGAGATGGCAGTATGAGAACTGGAAATTCATACCTAGCTTCAGCTGCATAGTGAGTTCAAGGCCAGTCTGGACTCGAGACACTGTCTCAAAACCAAGAAAACAAAACCCTACATCTATAAATTAGGCATTGAAACGATGGAAGATTATGAGCTATTAGAAAATATTCAATAAAAAATGCTTAGGGTAAATAATGATTTATGGATCTGTAATTATTCACCTTTCCTATCATGCCTCCTCACACACACCAAATGGAGGAATGAAAGATAAGTAGGACATCTGTCTGGATAAGTTATGGGAAGCAGGAAGTGGCAGCACAGAAGACGGTAACCTTAAGTCACACCAGATTAACTTTGGAGAAAATCTGAAGATCTTGTAATACTCAGTTTCCATTTGTAAGTTATATCCATGTGCATAAGACAAATTCTCATGAATTACTAACATCACATGGAAACTCTTACATCCACACTGAGAAATTACAGCATCAATATTGTGGGCAGTTTATCTTCATTACTTTCTTAAAGCCAGCACAATGCTAGCTACAAACACATTAAGTCCTATATATTCTAAGATGCAGAAAATATTTTTTAAAGAGGTGTTTTTTTCTTTATGTTTATATACTGGGAGGGGGCACATACCACAGCACAAATGTGGAGGTCAGAGGTCTGCCCCTGGGAGGAACCAGTTCTCTCCTTCTCCCATGTGGGTTCCAGGGATCAAACGCGGGTTATTAGGCTTTACCTGATGATCCATCTCCATGTCTTACTGGCCCAAGTGGGGAGTGGAGGATGCTAACAGTTTAACTCAATGATAAAAGACAAGCTTGGGATGCATGAGACCCTGAATTAAATTCCCCAACACAAAAAAATAAAATTAGTTCTATGGACTCCACTATATTGATAGAGTACTAATAGTGGCAATACCATCTACCTTCAATTACTGTAACATAATAGCTTTCTGAGCCTGGTGGTGGTGGTGGTGGTGCATGTCTTTAATTCCAGCACTCAGGAGACAGAGGTAAGTGGGTTTCTGAGTTTGAGACCAGCCTGGTCCACAGAGCAAGATCCAAGACGGGATACACAGAAAAGCCCTGTTTCAAAACAACAACAACAACAAAAAAGGGCTTTCCAGATTCCATTTGCACTTTTTAAAATTAATTTATTTCATGCTGTACCGTAGGCAAGCACTCTACCACTGAACTATATACATCCCATGCCTCATTTGTACTTTTAAAAAGGCTGTCCAAATTAACCATTCATATAAATACAATTTTCACATACATAAGAATACATAACTTTCTATACATGTAAAACATGTATTCTGAACTCACAAAATGGGCCACAAATAGAATATGTAAATATTCTATATTCATGAAGCCCAGTTAGTACATGCATGTATTGTAGCAAAAACACCTGAAGCTCAATGTGAGGTTCAGGAACATAAGAAATTAGCCTTGACTCATGCAACACTCAACATAAGCCAGAAATGCATGGCTCCTAATATCAAGCATGGTTTCAAGGAATTTCAAGTTTTTCCACCTATCTAGTGGAAAACAGGCACAAACAGGCATCAAGAAACGCCTGAGGAGAAGAGAGCCCTGCAGGGGCTAGTAAATGTGGCTGAGGTTTTGAAGGCAGTGCATCTTCCCCTTACGCATACAATTAGCACAATGTGCTTCCACTCTTGCAATCTGCATTTCCACTGTTGCTTAGGCCTCAGGTCTTCGAGAAAATGCAGGGAAAATGGTTTGAGATGGAAGTCTGCAAACTGTGTTTTAAAATATACTCTTAGAAACAAAGTGTTATTACAACAGACAAGTGTAATGAACGCTTTCCCACCAGGATTCCTGGTTAGCATGGGGTTTTACATGGAGTCCTGCTTACTCTTAACTGTTGACAATCCTCCTGCCTCTGTCTCCAGAATGCTGGGGTTACAGATGGGAAGCGCCACACACAGCTGCTCCCTCCCACCTGGTTCTTCAGTAAAGATACCCAATAAGACAGGATTTGCTTCGTGGTCAATAAGCCCATTTCTTCCTAATTTTAAAAGCAGAGTTTTAGGGTTTTTTTATTATTAAAAACAAAGATAAAAACATACAAGTGAAATATGTCAATATTTAGAATTGTTAAAATAACTCCCATGTGTTCTGAATGTAGCTTATTCAAGAGTTTAAACACCAACTGTATAATTCATAAAAACATGAATTCAAAAGAATCCAAAATAGAGTAAAAATTCATGACAGCGGCAGTGTTATCTGTAAGAACAAAGCAAACTACTAGAAACTTCTTAACAAACTGAAATCCCCTTGGATCACTTAAAATAAGGAAGGCAAGCCAAGCACTTCAGACTTCCATGCCAATCTGAGTTTCAGAAATACGGACCCAGTGCTATAATTTAATATTGAATACCCAACCCAACAATTCAATTCTGAATTCCCTATTGCCCCGTGCCTTTTCTTGACTGTTCCCTGCCTGGAAGACAATTACCCTCAGAAAGGCTTTCACCACAATATATTTTGTAAACATTCAAAGCAGATGTGTCCGGCTCTGTATCCCAGCAGGGAGACTGAGGCAGGAGGGTTGCTGTGAGTTGAGGGGGGGTGTTAACTGAGGGATTCCCCACACCACACACACTTGTCTGTGGCGAGTTCAAGGGCTTGGGCCCCTGTGGTTGGGTTCCAGATCACTCAACCCCAACTTTTTGCAGCTGGGCCTGCTTCTGCCTTCCTCGCTCACGTGCCAGCTGCGAGGACTAACAAACAGTCACTCGGACCAGACTTGGCAGTGTGCATCCCAGGGGAGGCACCCCGGGAGCTCTCAGGGTAGCCGCGCAGGGTACCCGCTACACCTGCAAATCTCGCTGCCCCCAGGTGTGGAGCCTGGCGTGGGGTCCCTCCTCCTGGCCGCGGGGCAGCCCGCTACCCCGGATGCGAGCCCTGCGTGGGGTTTCTCCTCCAAGCCCGGGGCTCCCCACTGCCCGGAGTGGGAAGGGAAGCCTGGGGCCCCTTCTCCTGCCGTGGGGATCCCCCGCCGTCCTGAGTGGGGAGGGCAGTCTGGAGTTCATCCTCCTGGCTGCGGGGTTCCCACGGCCCAGGCTAGGAGCACAGCCTAGGGTCCCTCCTCCCGGCTACGGGGTCCCCCACGGCCGTGAGTGGGAACGCGGTCTAGGGTCTCTCTCCGCGGCTGGGGAGTTCCCACCGCCCCGAGAGGGAGCCCAGCGTGGGGGTCCCTTCTTGCAGGCTAACGGGTTCCTACAGCCCGGGTGGGAGCTCAGAATGCAGTCCCGCCTCCGTGCTGAGGGGTTCCTAGGACCCGGGGTGGGATCCCAGCGTGAGGCCCCTCCTCCCGGTTGCGGGGTTCCTACAGCCCCGGGAGGAAACCCAGCCTGTGGTCCCCTCCTCCGGTTTGGGTCTGGAGACGGCGCCAGCCTGCCAGGTGCAGCCGCCGCCCCAACTCACCTCCGGCCGACCGAGGCGCAAGCGCTCCCTGCAGGGTTCGGAGACAGCGGCGGGTGGGAAAGCCCGCAGCCCAGCGCGGGAAGCCCCGGCTCGCACAGGGTCCCCCGCGCCACCCCTTCCAGACGCGGGACGCCGGGGAGCCCCGGGGACCGCGCGCGCCTCCCGCCCGGGCTCGCCCCGCAGCCGGCCGCTTTGTGCGGCGCTGTCACCCGAAACCCGCCGCCACCCCCAGGCGCGTCCGCCGTGCCGCTCGTCCCTACCTCAGAGCGCTGGCCAGGTGGCACAGGCTGCCCCGGGCTGCCCAGGACCGCGGGATAGGCACCAGCAGCTGCAATAGCTCGGCCGCCGCCGCTTCCGCCCCTATCGCGGCGTGACCCGGAGTGGGAGGAGCTCGCAGGCCCAGGGAGTGGGAGGGTCCGGGCGCTCGCCCCGCCCCGCCCATTTCCGCCACTGCGCAAACTCCGCACCTGCGAGGGCGGGGCCTACGCGCTCTAGGTGGAGCCCTTGCGCTGGGCGGGTGGATGGCGGAGAGGCTTTGGTTTGGGGGCGGGGCCTGGGTGCCTGGGACGGGGTCTTTGTGCCAGAGGCGGGATCGATACGACCTAGAAGGGGCCTGAGTGTCTTGGGCGTGGTCTGGCGTGCCCAGGCGTTGGCGCGTTCTGGCCGGGGTTCTCACCCCGGGCAGGGCCTATAGGACTGGAGCCCGGACGTCGTCTCCGGGGCGTGACCTGTTCATATTGGGCGGGGTCTTCGCCCCTGAGGCGGGGCCTGCGCGTCCTTGCAGAGCTCCGGGTTGTAGCAGACAGAAAGACTGGCTAGGGTCTGAGAAAGGCAGCTGGGCACAGCCGAGGTAAGTTGCCAGCCGGCGAGAAGGGCAGTGGTTTCGCTAAGATTCTATAAGTCTGTTTCAGTGTTCTTCAGAATGGGGTGTGTGAAAAGCATGGGTGACAGCTCCCCGCCTCCCGAAAAGGGGCTTCGGGAAGCGCCGCAAAACCTGGGAAGAGATCAGAATGCAAATGCTTCGAGTCCATTGTATTAAGTAGCCCCCGTGCTTAGTGGTGAGTTTCAGATAACACATGTCCAAGTATAAAATACTTCCCTGAGCCCTGTGGACTTTACTGAAGTTACTTCGTAGTTTAACAAAATTTGAAAGTAAAACTAAAGCAGAAGCCAGGCGTTATGGTGCAGGCCTGTAACCCAGCAGGAGAGAGCTGAGGCAGGAGGAACTCAGCGAGTTAGAGAGAGATCAATCAGCCTGGACTACATAGTGAGTTCCAGACAGACCCTCCTAAAGCAGAAGCGAGTGCTTTTTCAGGTGTGGAGGGCTTGGACCAATGAGCATACAGAAAGTGAATGTTTATGAGAGGAAACATTGTGGCTTCCTCTTTTCTCATCCTCGTACTTTGCACTTTGATTGTGTTCAGAATTTTATTTCTCCAGAAATGAACAGTGAACACCACATTGAGGCGCTGTAATTACAGCTAAGTGATTGCATTCGTGACCCTTTCAGTCCCAGATTCGGTGAGAGAGAGGGCTGGGCAGGGTAAAAATTACGCTTTATTCTATGTTCAGAAGAGCACTTCTTTCTGAGGGCAACTTTGGGTACCATAGTTTCTGATGGTAGAAAATAGAGACGGGAAAAGAGCAATTCTCTTGCTTTTTTTCTGTATCTACAGTAATCCCACACTTCCTGCTGACCTTTCACAATTCTGGGCTTTGCCCTCTGATATCAGGGCCTGGTAAAGGCCTTTTGTTAGTAATACTTGCTGTGAAGTGCATTTTTGTTCCCAGAGTTAATGGATGTCCTTTAATCCTAAACACAGAATCTAAATCATGCAACAAAAGGACATTTCCTTAAATTGCTGTTTTTGTGACATGCTTGCTGTTTCACAAATGAAAGCATTACATTCAAGTCATGTGATCACCAGTGATTTAAAGGACCGGGCAAAAATCTGGAAATTTTTTTACATTTCTTTTATTTACTTTATGTGAACTCATGTCTTACCTGTGTGCCTGCATACACACACACACACTTGCCTGCTAGGGGGATTGGAACCGGGGGTACAGACTCTCACGTGACACCATGTGGTTTCTGGGAATTGCACCTTTGCAAGAACAACAAGTGCTCTTAACCACTGAACCATCTCTCTAGTCCCTAGAATCGTGGTATTATAGTGTGCTTAATTGGAAGGGCGGGCATCTCCTCACATAGTCAATCTGCAACTGCAGGTACACAAAGTTCCTACCCCTTCGGTTCCTTCCTGACGCTCTATCAAATGCTAGGATTTTTTAGATGCAACAACCATATTAAAGGAAGGACATATAAGGGCCCAGAAATCGGAGGACTGCTGGTTAAAGACTTCACAGGTCCAACAAGCTGAATTCTGATCTAGCCAAGGAGCCAACCAATGGATGACTAGTGGCAGTTCAGAATCCCTGGACCTTCCTACTTTAACGATCCTACTCCCAGAAGTGGGAGAAGGACTGAAACCAGGGCATTGGTTGCTTGAATTTCTGGTTCAGAAAAGGCTAAAATCGCAGGCTCCTTTTGTTACCTTCTTACAGCAGGGTTTCTACTCCTCTTTACATCTGCAAGTTTGTAGGGTGGGGTACAGGTTGTTCCCTAAAGACATCTTTCCTGATATATAACAATGAAGTGTTCTTAGTCCTAGACTCACTGAAGTCTAATTTTTGGTATGGTTTATTGGGTGTTGAAAACTGGGTTTTGTTTTTGCTTGGCTGGTTTTGGTTTTTTGTTTGTTTGTTTGTTTTGATACAATGTCTCACTGTGTAGCCCTGACTGGCCTAGAACTTACTATGTAAACCAGGCTGGCCTTGAATACAGAGAGCCTCTTGCTTCTGCCTCCCTAGTGCTAGGATTAAAGATACATGCCACCATACCTCACTTGTTTGTTTTTGAGACAGGGTCCTGCTATATAGGTTGGCTGGCCTGGAATCCACTATATAGACCAAGCTGGCCTGGTATTTGCAACAACCCTCTTGCCTCTGTCTCCCAAGTATTGGGGGCATGTGACACCACTCCTGGCTTTGATGTTGATATATTTTTAAAAAGCTATTGCCAAAGGTAAAGGGGTTTTGTATAGTTCATCAATAGAGTCACAGTTCCTGAGTGACATGATGGCATATATTTTTCCATTTAGGCACTGGAGACAGCAGCCTCTGGGACAAAAATTGCCTACAAACTATGGATGATACAACTCCACTTGATGTGAAAGACCACTTTGACACTGAAGTACAGAAGAACCGAGTACTAAGCCTGGGAGAATGGCAAGATAAATGGGTGACCCGAAAAATCGGATTTCATCAGGAACAAGGACACCAGTGAGACATGTTTGGTCTCTGACAGAGAATGCTTTATCAGAAATGGACTGGGGGGGGGTGTGCCTCAGTTGGTAGAGAGCTCTCTTAGAATGCAAGAACCTCTTGGTTTGATCTGCAGCATGGAACACAATTGGGCATGGTGGTGTTTGCCTGTAATAGCTTTTGAGAAATTGGGGCAGGAGGATCACAAGTTGAAGCTACATATGTGAGCTTGAGGCCAGTGCTTGGCTCCATGAAAAGGAAAAGGAAAAGGAAAAAGAAAGAAACTGGCTTTAAAAGTAATATACAAATACACATTTTTTGGATTTATTTTCGCTGTAATCATTTCATGCTATGCAGCCTCTCAGAAATCAGAAAGCATCCATAGCACGTCATACAGTAATTAACAAATCACTTTTTCCTTTCATTGTATATGATATGACTGACGGATGGTGGCATCTTCGATTAATGAAATGTCTCTTCTTTTTAAAAACCACCCATGCTTTGGTTACGGTGCTTATACATGCAACAAATGCTAAAGCAACATGTAAGCTTGTGTCTCCCAATGTTCAAAAGCAAGGGTGAGGGCCAGCAAACTGGCTCAGCAGAGGAAGCCACTTGCCACCAATTCCAACACTCAGCATTCTGTCCCTAAGCACCACATGATGGAAAGTGAGAACTGACTCTTGGAAGTTGTTCTCTGACCTCCAGACCTGTACCATGACACAGATGTGTACACACACACTAAATTAATTAAAATTTAAAGAGTTAAGCTCATTGAAGAGGCCATTTAAAGAGGTCATTCTGTGAAGTACTGAAAATGTATACGTTCAGAGAGCACCTTCTTAGCATCACTTTTGAAACAACTAAAATAAGAGTTAAATGTGGTGAATAATACAGGCTTTTCCAAATGTATCACTCAAGGAAGCACAAGAAGTTACTTCCTATTCATGAAAACTCTGTGTTAGTCATATTTAATACTAAGTAGCTATGTAATGAAACAAGTTCCTTAGCTGGCCTGTTTCTTTAAGTGTAAACCAGAGGTTGTAATAAGTAACATTACATTGTTGTAACATTATGTTGTTGTTACATTGTTGGGAGCATTGAGATACTACATGAGAAGTTCTTAGTCTCATTGATGCTACTTCCCAGCTCCTTTGTATTGGGCTAGTTAAAACAAGCATTTGGAAACTTTTCTTTTTCTCCCCAGGCTATTAAAGAAGTATTTGGATACATTTCTTAAAGGCCAGAGTGGATTGAGAGTGTTATTCCCCCTGTGTGGAAAAGCAGTTGAGATGAAATGGTAAGCAGAGTAGTATTTGGGGTAAATATCTAACAAGATATATATAGGTTAAAAAAAAAAAGAAGAAACACACTCTCAGAATGAAGTGTGGCAGGACACACCCATAATAATAGTTGGGAGGTGGCAGCAGGAGGACCAGGAATTCAAGGCCAGACTTGGCTACATTCAAGTTCAAGGGCTGCTTAGCTAGGTGAGACCCTGTTTCAAAAACCCAGTCAAACAAACATACAAAGATCAACAACAAAATTCCATTCTCAAATTCAAGAGTGTCTTTATTTTTAGACAGAGTCTGTGATAGTTATTAAATTAAAGATACTATTTCCAAGCAAAAGGAGTGCAAACTGAGTCAGGCATGATCTTGTTTTTCTGCATTTTGTTTCCTAGGCCAAAAAAAAAAATAGTTTGGGGGCCTGAGGATTTAGTACAGTTAGGAGAGTACTTACCTAGCAGGCATGAGACCCTGTGTTCCATATCCGACATTGCTTAAAACAAGGGTGGTGGTACATACCTATGATGTTGGCAATTGGGTGAATTAATTTGTAACTAACAATAGGGAAACACTAGCCTCCTTTTTCATATCTCCTGGATCTTTGTATGGGATTTAATGTCTATAAGTAGCTTAGAAATTTCAATAACTATGGATGTTTGAAATGGAAGGCAACAGAAAAACACAAACTGTAATACAAGCTTTCAGCAGGGTAGTGTTTATAGTGCAGCTCAACTCTCCTTTCCTCCCACGAACAAATAGGACTTTTTGTTGTTGTGAGTCACTGTTATAAAAACCAGTGGTAGGAAGAGTAACTCTTGTAAGCAGTCCTCTACAAGAAGAATTCACTCTAGTTAGCAAGCCACCATTACTACACGGCTACCCTGAGTCACAACTCCAGAAATTGTTTTTTTGCACAAAACACTGTTGTCATGATAATGCACAGGCACAAATACATCCTCCAAGATGTGAATTTGCCTTAAAAATATAAATATTGGGAGCATCTATCTATCATTAGACTGGAAAGAACAAAAGATTGGTGGAAAAGTCTAGTAAATAGACTCACTTTAAAATCATCTTGCCTCCCCCCCATGTAAATACCAATGATTTACCCACAAAACATATGCATTTGATTCTATTCTCCAGTAGAGAGAGTAAAATTTTTGCAGTCCACACTGTCTCAACTTGTAGCTAAGAGCATATATTAAGTGGCTGTTAGGGGGCAAGACAAATGGCTTTGTGGTTAAGAGCACTCGCTGTTCTTTCAGAGAACTCATGTTGAATTCCCAGCATCCACATCAGGTGACTCACAACCACTAGTGACACCCTCTTCTGGCCTCTGTGGACACACGCACACACACACACACACACCATACATACAGAGACATACACATAAATAAAAAAATAACAAATAAAAATTTTAAATGGCTGTTATAACCTGAGATTCAAGTGTGGCCATGAAATTAGGAATTGTATTTCCTACTAGACAATGCTTTAATGGGATCTCACCAAAGAAGAGAGTGACTTTGCAAACTGCCTATGAGAAAACAGCTCTATGAGCAGAAATGGTAATTCTGTGACTGGAGCAGAGATTTTAAGCAACTTTATTGAAACTGTATAGCTAGCTAGCCTGGGGGGGGGTTATTGGATATTTTGGAGATCTCAATCCATTTGCAACAAAAAAAATTGAGGTTTGGGAATGTAATTCAGTGGGAGGATACTTGTCTAGCACCCACAGGCTTCATTCCCCAAATCTGCAAATAATAAAAATTGAAATAAAAGCTACTATAATTTCATGTAAGTTATCATATTAGAGAAATTTTCAGTCGTGTGACTGATCTATGTATGTATAGGCATTAGACATGAGCAGATGAACTAACTAGGAACAGGGCCAAAAAAACATTAAAATGAAATAGGAAAGTTATTTTATGGTATCACTTTTGCCCTATTTGTATTCTAGGAGATGCTGTATGTGTTGACTGGGAAATACAAATACATGCAGCCAGTTTGGATAACTCCTTTGCATATATTTTGTAACTTCAAAACCACATATGAAGAATGAAAGAAATAGCCTCTGTATGCTAGAGTACAATTCTCTGGGCAGTATGAAAGACACGTTATTAGTACATTTCATTTTAGAACTATAAATAGCCCATGCTCTGCCCACATTGGGAACATGCACTCTTTCGTGGATAATAGGCACAGTCCATCCTGTTCTTGTTTTGAAATGTGCCTTCTATTCTCATAATATATGAGAGAATGGTTGGAACACCATGTGACGTTCACCTTTAGTCACCTGCGGTTTCATCTGCACAAGCCATCAGCTAAACACCAATCTCTGCCACGGTTAGTTAAGCTGCTGTTCAAACAGTGCTCTGCTACCTCAGTTTACCCTGGGCCCAGCCTTTCCTCTGTACACTCGGTGTTAGAAACTTCCCATTCAGTTTCCCTCACCCCACCGCTTCACAGCAGTTCAAACAGAACATTTTCTGACACCCACCTTCTACCTCCGGGTCTCCATCAGAGGGCAGTGCCCCATTTTCCCATTTATGCAGTTGTGACACTGACAGGTGTGTGTGTGTGTGTAGTTATATGTGCAGATACACATGTGTGCAATCCAAAGTCCACACAAGGCATCTTCCTTTATTGATCTGCACTGTCTTTTTAAAGACGGGATCTCTCACTGAACTGGAGTCTGCTGACAGGCCCCAGGGATCCTCTTGTCTTTGCCTGTCAGCATTGCAGGTACAGGCTGCCATGCCCGACTCTCTCCATGGATGCTGGGGATCCGAACTCAGGTCCTCCTGCTTCTGTAGCAAGCACTTCACCCATTGAGCCCTTGCCTCATTCCTAGCTTTTGGTTTTGTAGTGTTTTTTAAAGACTTAAGTATCTGTTGGCTGGTGTGTACATCGGATCCCTGGGAGCCGGAGTTATAGGCCATTGTGAGTCACCTGATACAGGTGCTGGGAACTGAACTTGGGTCTTCTGCAAGGGCAGCAAGTGCTCTTAACCACTGTGTTATTTCTCCAGCCCCCTTTGTGGGTCTTTGAGACAGAGTCTCCTGTAGCTCAAACTAGTCTCAAACTCGTTATATGGCTGTGGCTGACCTTGAACTCCTGATCCTCTTGCCTCCATTTCCCAAGTGCTGGGATTACAAGCCTGTGCCCCCATGCCCAGCTCACAAAGGTTTTCATATTGTTTACTAAGCATCAGTTTCCCATCAGCCTTGTGATTTCTATGCATGGCTCTTCATAGCATAGTAACAGTTAGCTAGGCTTGTGTTGCATTATAGAAGAACTGACTAGTTTTTATGTAGTTTGATATAAATTCACTTCTTTGTCTCAATATTTGTGCACCTGCTATTGTTTTCTTTCTGAGTAAGATTTCTGCTACTGTTTAAGATCCTCAGAAATCTGTAACTATAGACCTTGTTAGGAAAAGTTACTATTTGCATATGATAATGATTCATTTTCCCAATCATGCTTATTGTTAATAAATGGAAATTATAGGTTTGTTACCAAAAATGCACAGATTACTTCAAGTTTGCATTCTAGTATGGCAACTACTAGTCACATGTGGCAATTTTTAAAAATTCATTTAAATGATATGCTTTCCAATTTTGAAACAGACTCTTGCTGTATAGTCCAGTGTGGCCTCAAATTTAAGATCTTCGGTCTTCTCAATAATGGAATTGGTGGTATAACATCATGCCAGATTTGCATATTTGAATATAAGCCAATTAAAAATTTAAAATCATTTCTATGGGACTGGCCACATCCTAGATGCATAGTAACCAGTGTGTCTAGTGGCTCTGTTTGGTACAGAACAGAGATGGGCATATCCATCATCACAGAGAATGGATCAGAGCCAGTGCTGATTTGGAGAACTGACAGGCATTTTCTCTGGTCAAACACATTCATAGGAATGCCTACAAAGCTGTGAATCCCTTCAAATTAAGGAAAAGATAGAGTTGTTTTCTTTTGTCATTTCCTTTCTTCTCATGATACATTTTTAACATAGGGCCTTAGGCATGGTGGGAATTCTGGTTACTGTTTCCAGCCAGAGGGGCTGTGTGTTTACTATGGTTTTTATCCAGTGCTGTATGTGAAGGAGAGCTGAAGTGTAACTGTGTTTTCCTGCAGGTTTGCAGAGCGGGGCCACACTGTAGTTGGTGTAGAGATCAGTGAAATTGGGATTCGGGAATTTTTCGCAGAGCAGAATCTTTCATATACAGAGGAACCGTTCAACGAAATTGCTGGCGCCAAAGTGTTTAAGGTTTGTATTGATTGTGGTAACTAATTATTCCCGTGCCTCACCAGAAAATGATGTTTTCCCCCCATGAGTACTTAAGATGTTAAACAAGTGTCAAATGGGTGTTCTTTACCACCAATTACATACATGTTATCTGCTTCAGTGAGCTACGGCTTCAGCGTACAGATGGCAGCTCAGCACTCAGAGGGTGGAGCCAGAAGGATCATGAGTTCAAGGCTAGGCTAGGCTACAGAGTGAGACTTTTGTCTCAAAACAAAAGATGATAGATAAGTAGTAAACATAAATGATAGAATTAGGGCTAAACATACAGATGATAGTTTAACACATATATGATAAATAACAGCTAAACTAATATTAGGAATAGATATATAGATAGTAGAATATATATATATGTATGTATATATGCATATGTCATGTTGCATATGAGAGTCAGTCCTCTCCTTCCTTCATGTAGGGCCAGGGATTAAACCCAGGTTGTCAGGCTTGGCTGCAGCCTTACCCTCTGAGCCGTCTGGCTGGCCCCCATCCAGGTTTTTAAAAGAAAACATGTTAAACTCCAATAAAGTTGTTATGCTTAGTGTGCGGTCTCTCTATCTCCTTGGCTTTGTCTCAACTCTGTTTTCCTTTCTTTGACCATTTAAAAATAAGTGTTTTATATTGTTTTGCTACAGAGTTCTTCAGGGAATATTTCACTGTACTGCTGCAGCATTTTTGATCTTCCCAGGTAAGACTGAGAACTCTGCCTGCACCATCACATGAGTGTGTGAGTGAGTATGAATGAGTGGGTGTGTGAGTGTGGGTGTGACTGAGTAAAAACCCTTTGCACCATTGTGTGAGTATGTGTGTTCGAGAGAGTGAATTAGTGTGTATATGTAAATGTGAGTGTGTGAGTGTGCGTGAAATCCTAAGTGGGGTGTGTGAGTATATGTGTAAATGTGTGTCAGCACATGCGTGTGTGAATGTTAGTGTGACTGAGTGCTCTATCTGCCCCATTTTGCATGTGAGTGTGTGCGAGTGTGAGTATATGTTTGGGTGTGTACAGCTGTGGCATATGAGTGGCATAAGGGGACAACCTTAGATGCCAGTCCTTGTCTACCACCTGTTTGAGACAGGATTTCATGGCCACTGTGAACTCCAGACTAGCCGGCCTCCACACTTGTGGGGATTCTCCTGGCTCCACCTCCGTCTCACCATATTACACGGTATTACAACTATGTCTTGCTTTTACATGGGTTCTAGCTGTCAGAACTCAGGTCCTTGTGCTTCTATGGTGAGTGCTTCACCCACTGAACCACCCATTTGTTCGTTTAAAAAGGGATGGTGGCACACGCCTGAACACAGTGCTTGAAACAGGCAGATCTCTGAGTTGGAGGCCAACCTGGTCTAGATAGCAAGTTCTAGGCCAGCCAGGGCTATATGATGAAATGCTGCCTTAAAAACAAGGGGGGATGATGTTCATGGTCCAGGAGGATGGCTCAGAGGGTAAAGATGCTTGTCATTCAAGCCTGATGACCTAAGTTCACTTCCCCAAACCCATGGTAGAAGGAAAGAACTAACTCTGACCTTCATATGCACACCTTAGAATACATGTGCTTGCATGTGCACGAACACACACACACACACAGAGTAACAATGAGGGTGGGCCTTGCTGGCAGTGCTGGGGTGTGGTGGGGGATCTGTTCGCCACTCCTGTCCACTTCCGTAGCAATGAGAATTATTGTTCTGCAGTTGTTCTTACCAAAGCCCCATCTTTCCACTTCATAGGGATAGATCCCAAACTTTCAAACTCATTATGACAATCTGCAGCAATTTAAAGGCAGGGAGAGGAAAACTGAGTCTTCCACCTGGCACCTGAGCCTGTAACCAAATGAGTTACAAAGTGTAGGAGGCAATATAGTAACTGACAGAGCCTGATGCCTGAGCAAGGGGCAGGGGACAGAGCTGTCACTCACTGCCTGTTGCGGGATATTTGTACACTGTGTGAAGATGTATTGCACTGATAGGTGTAATAAAAAGCTAAATGGCCAATAGCTAGGCAGGAGAGTATAGGCGGGACTTCCAGGCAGAGAGAGAACTCTGGGAAGAAGAAAGGCAGAGTCGCCAGCGAGACCCAGAGAGGAAACAGTAGGTGCAAGATAGAAGAGAGCTAACACCCTGTGGCAGAATGTAAATTAAGGTAAATGAGTTAATATAAGTTGTAGGAGCTAGTTGAGACAAGCCTAAGCTAAAGACCGAGATTTCATAATAAATAATAAGTTTCTATGTCATTATTTGTGAGGTGGTAGCCGATGAAAAAGCTTGCTACAACTACCCTCTGCCCTCTCTCCTTTTCCCAAGTCACAGAAAAACAAGGAGGTTGCTGCAGGAGTTAGGAAGTGGACAGTCCCCACACTGGGTCAGTACATCCCTCTAAAGTCTATAAAGGAAAGTCAACATGAGACCCTGATACCTTGATGATGGGTGAGGTCCCAACATGTCCCCTGGGGAACACTAGATATCTTGTTTGAGATTTAATCTTTCTTCAGACAAAATGTAACAGCCTTTCCCCTCTCTCTTGAGCAGAGCGAATATTGGCAAGTTTGACAGGATTTGGGATAGAGGATCATTAGTGGCTATCAACCCAGGTGACCGTGAGCGGTAAGTTGGTTTCTTCAGTTGCTTTGGTTTTCTTTGTGCTTAGCTGGGTTTGAGGAAAGCTGAAGTGTGTATGATGCCAGTGGTTTGGCCACTTTGCAAGCTCTGCTGCCTTGACCCAAGTACTGTGATTCTCCAAGCCCCAGGTCACTCCTCTGCAACCTTAGATGACCTCTGCTAGCACCATCACTGTTGCTGACAGCTGTGGGATTCTTGTCCTGGCATTGTTTGGAATATTCGGTGTGTGCTAACACATTTAACTAGTCTGACAGCCCTATGACAGAGATGCTGTCTTGATTCCAGTTTGCACATGAGAAATGTAAGGTCAAAGAGCTGTGTCCCAAGTTAGACAGCTGGCACATGGCATTTGAAATTCTAACCTGCTGAGTTTGCTCAGAGCTCCACATCACATGACCTCAAGGAGCTGTGGGAATTGGAAGAAAAGAAATATGTCAGCCAGGTGTGGCAGCACACAGCTGTAATCCCAGCACTCGGGAGTCTGAGGCAAACCTGGGCCATAATGAGACCACCAGACTCTGTCTCCTAAATAAAAGAACAATGAAATCTGTGAGAAATGTGTTATTAACTCCAATGAACTATAAAATGCTGACTGTTGCCAGGCATTGGAGGCACATGCCTTTAATCCCAGCACTGGGGAGGCAGAGGCAGGTGGATCTCTGTGAGTCTGAGGCCAGGCTGGTCTACAGAGTGAGTTCCAGGACAGACTCCAAAACAATACAGAGAAACCCTGTCTCGAAAAACCAAAACAAACAAACAAGACACCAAAAAACCGACTGTTGTTACAAACGCACTTGTTGATACTTTGGGTGATCGTGTTTATACCTAGCCTTACAAGAAAGTAAAATTAAGAAAGCATGTGAGGTAAGTACAATCCCATTTTCTTGTGTAAATAATTCCACAAATGTGTCTCCTTGGATTTGGCAGGTTAGATACTGAATTACTCATTACACAGAGGCAGACTCTTCATACATGGCCAAAAAGTTCAAACTCCATGTCAGCAACACATTTAAAAAGACAAATCAGTTGCTTCATATGCAAGACTATTGCCAAACCTAATCTTTGAAAACCATAACATTCCACACCAGATGTATACATATTTTCTTTCCTTCACTGATAATTTCTCTCTCTCCTCTCCTCTCCCTCTCATTTTTCCTACCCCACCCTGCACCCTCATCTGGGTTTGTCTCTGCAACGCTTGTTCCTAAATGATCAGTTGAGTTCTGTTCCTTGCATTCAGCTTCCCAATAGCTATTTATTATGTTCCCGTTGGATCTTTAGATGTAAGCTACGTGCAGCGCTGGGAAGGTGGGCATGGCTTTTGCCATGACGGTTCTGTCACTCAGCTCTTCCAGGCATCCACATCACATTTCCAGCGCATGCTCTGCATTTCCCCATAGTGTTTGCCCTTCATCCGCTCGAGGCATTGCCTCAAACGCCTGCACCTTCATAACACACTGTATTTGTGGAGCACACTCAGTGCTCTATAAAAATCTACAGGCTGTCAGGGAGAGAGCAGGATGTTGAGTTGAGACCCAAGGGGAAGCAGGCCCACTGGGCTCCGCTGTTCCATCAGTATAGGAGTTGATTCACATTTAGTGCAGGTAAGGCCTCTGTGATCATTGTGACCAAAGGAAGAAAGTCAAGCTGTATATCAGGCAAGACAAACGCACCATCTCCTGCCTCTGCTCCCCTGTCCTTGCGGCATCACATCCTCCGTCCTTAGCTTCGAAGGACACCCTAGTTGACTCTGACACCCTTGCTCATGGCTAACAAGGCAAGTGACACCCAAGGGGAAGCTTCCACGGAAAATGAAGCTTTAGCTTGGCCAGAGAGTCATGATCCTCCCTGTTCTCCTGTTCTGCCTCTTCCTGCCCCGCCTCCCTCTCTGCATGTGTGTGTCTGTGGTCACAGGGTAAACACACTCACGAGCATGTTGGATATTGTTATCAGAAGTAATTTCTTTGAGATTTTAACTTATTTTGTATTTATGTGGATGTGCATGCACACGTGTATATGTGTGTGCAGACATGGTGGGCTGCCATCAAGGTCGGAAGAAGGCATGAGATACCCTGTTGCTGAAGATGCAGGCGGTTGTGAGCCAACCAATGTGAGCAGTCTGTGCTCTCACTGAGCTGTCTCTCCGGCCTTGCCCTCTGGATTTTTTTTTTTTTGAGTTTGATTGAAAGTTCACATTCCAAGGGAATTGGTGGCTGCCAGTTCCAGGAGACATGGCTGAGCCACTCTGGTGGATCACCATCCTAGGGACAAGTTTCTTCGCACCACTCTTAAGAACAAGAGTCACACGAGCTGTGGTGGCTCACATCTGTAATCCTAGCACTTGAGAGGCTCAGGGAGAAGGATTGCTTTCAATCTGATGCCAGCATAAAACTACATGGTGAGTTCCTGGCCAGTCTGGACTACAGGCTACATTGGGGGTGGGGGTGTCAAAAAGTCAATAAGTGAAGGATTCTGCTCAAAAGATTACTTTATTCTTTCTTTTTCTTTTATTTTTTTTAATTTTGAAGATAGAGTCTCAAGATGAAACAAAGGCTATCCTCAAACTCATATGTAGCCCAGGCTGACCTGGAATTTCAGGTGCTCCTGCCTCAGCCTCCCAGCTGCTAAGATTGTGGGTGTGTACCACCCATAGCATGCTTCTGTCATTTCTCTTCCCACACATCTGAGTCACTGACAGCACTCCGCATCACTCAACACAGATACTGCAGCTTTCACTATAGCAACCACGGTCAGTCCCTCTCTCTACTTACTTGGTGTGCAAGTACAGCCATCAGGTGGGTCACTTCCTGATCAGTCTTAGTGTTTTATCATAGTCACACCCACTTCTGAACCAACATGGCTGGAAAGCTGTGTCACTCACTCTTTGGGGCGCCCACTAACGGGTCATCCACAGCACTGGTGGTTAATGCCGTATTTATAGAACTTTGTCTGTCACCCCAAACTTACCTGCACACTAGTCTCACCTCTGTCAAACCAGATGAAAGGGATTCTGCTGTCCCTTCTCACATGTGTGCCTTTAGGGATGTCCTTGTCACACAGGATACTTAACTGTCAGCATCCCAGCCCAACAGCAGACCTACCGAGTCAGTCTGTGGGCAGAGCTCAAGCATCTTTGCTTCTAACATGTGTCTTGGTGCTTCTGATACCCAACCTGCCCTGGGAGCCCCGGCCCCTGAGCACACAGTAGACTAGTGATCCTTCAGGAAGCATTCCGACAAGGTCAACCAGACCCCTTAGGACCCCATCAGCCTCTGTCTGTCCTGTGGTGTCTTCATGTCTGACCTACCCTGGGAGAAGGCTTCAACTTCATTCTTCTCTTTACTGTTTCCCAGCTTTGGGTGGGGAGCCAGAGGACATAATTTATTCCATGCATTTCTTGCTTTTAAATAAGAGCCCCTGGAGGCTGGAGATGTAGCTGAATTCGGAGCACATACTGCTCTTCTAGAGGACCTAAGCTCACCTCCCAGCACCCATGTCAGGAGTTTCACAATTGCCCATAACTCCAACTCCAGGGGGATCAGAGCCTCTGGCCACTCTGGACACCAGCACTCATGTACACATACACCCTTTCCCAAACACACAGACATACAATTGTACATAATTAAAATAACAAATTTCTAAAAGAAGAACCCCTGCATAGCTGCATGTATGCGGTGGTGCACAGACATCCATGCAGATAAAACACCCACACACATCAGAAATAATAAAAAACATTCACAAAAGCCCATGTTCCCACCCTTAGCATGCCATAAACATATGTGGTGTTGCATGCCTATAATCCCAGCACTTAGGAAGTGGAGGCAGGAGGATCAGAAAGTCAAGGTCAACCTCGGCTACACAGTGAATGCAGTGGAACACAAGAACCAGATCATCTTATTTACTGTTCTGCTGCTGTGACAAGACACCATGAGTGAGGCAGCTTACAAAAGAAAGCATTCAATTGGGGGCTTGCTTACAGTTTCAGAGGCTGAGTCTATGACCATCATGGTAAGGAACTTGGCAGCAGGTAGACAGGCATAGCACTGGAGCAGTAGCTGAGAGCTCACAGCTCACATCCTGATCTGCATCTGCAGAAGGGGGGGGAAGAGAGAGAGAGAGAGAGAGAGAGAGAGAGAGAGAGAGAGAGAGAGAGAGAGAGAGAGAGAGAGAGAGAGAGAGAGAGAGAGAGAGAGAGAGGGAGAGAGAGAGAGACTGAACCTACCTGTGCCTGGAATGGACTTTTGAAACCTCAAAGCCCATCCACAGTGACACAGCTCCTCGACAAGGCCACACCTCCTAATGCTTCCCAAATAATTCCACCAACTGGGGACCAGTCTTCAAATCTGTGAGTCCATGGGGGGCATTCTCATTCAAACCACCACACAGACTTATATGGGTACTAGAAGAGTTTCACTGCAGATAGTAATATATAGTAAATGCTGGCTTCCTTCATTGCCTCTGTCTGTATAAGAGAAATGAAACATACTTTTTGTGTTCTTTCTAGCTATGCAGATATAATACTCTCCCTACTGACAGAAGAGTTTCATTACCTTGTGGCTATCCTTTCTTATGATCCAACAAAACATGCAGGTAACATGTGTTTTTTGTTTTGTTTGTTTGTTTGCCTACTTTCCTGATTTAATTCTATGTACGTGTGAGGATTATTTTTCCCCTGTCTTATCTCATAGGATGTGCACTGCTTATATGCATGAAGATAATTCTGGGCTAATGAGAACAGCAGACCTTTGTGCTCTTACATACATTTTCTTATTCCTTTCCTGCTTTGGTCATCAGTCATAGTTCCAACTGTAGGAAGGGAAATGGATGACCTTATGTGAAGAGGTGTCCTGAGAGCCCTAGAGTAGGAGGAAGAAATGTGGTTGCCCTGCAATGGGCATTGTGTGGCTAGAAGATGAAGGACACCCCAGAGGAACCTGTCAATGGGCTCCACTCTGATCTCTGATATGAGATATTCTAAAGTAAGGCTGGGGGGCCAGGGATGTAGCTCAGTTGGTACAGTTCTTGCCTAGCATGCAGAAAGACTCTGGGTTGATCCCTAGCTCTTTGTAAACCATATATGGCAGTGCATGCCTATAATCTCAGTACTTGGGGGAGAGATAGAAGCAGGGGGTCCCTAGTTCAAGGTCATCCTTAGCTATATAGTTAGTTTGAGGCCAGCCTGAACTACTTAAGACCGTATCTTTAACACACACACACACACACACACACGAAAGGCATGCTATATATTTACCTCTCTGAATTCCTGAGTAGTCTATATAATAAGTATCCATAACATCACCAAAATTAAGCTGAGAGGTGAACCCCAAGAATTTGTTTGCTTTCTCAATTAGAGTTGGAACCATAAACTATTCTTCACCACACTTCTTTTTTCTTAGGCCCACCATTTTATGTTCCAGATACTGAACTTAAAAGGTTATTTGGTAAGTTAACATTCCTTTTTGATATTCGCACGCGCGCGCGTGTGTGTGTGTGTGTGTGTGTGTGTGTGTGTGTGTGTGTGTGTGTGTGGTGTGTTTGAGACAGGGTTTCTGTGTAGCCCTGCCTGTCCTAGAACTCACACTGTAGACCAGGTTGGCCTTGAACTCATAGAGCTCCACCTGCCTCTTCCTCCTGAGTGCTGGGATTAAAGGCATGGTGCACTCTTTTAAAAAAAGAGATGTATTTTTATTATTTTAATTATATATGTATGTATATGTGTCTGTATGGGTATGTGCACATGTATCTAGAGGCCAGAGGCAACAGAGCTCCAAGAATCAGAGGAATAGGCAGTTGTGAGCAAACTGGGGTCTTCTGCCAGAGAGGTAAGCTCTTTAACTGCTGAGCTGTCTCCCAGCCCAATTATGTTCTTTTAAAATAAAGTCAGTAAATCAAGCATGATGGACACAACTGTAATCCCAGATCTCAGGAGCTGAATCAAGAGAAAAGAAAGTTCCAGGCCAATCTGAGTCTGGACCAAAGAGAAAAGCCTGTCTGAAAAATAGAATTAAATAAAAATAAACCAAGAAAGAAAACAGTTAACTGTTCAGCTGCTAGTGAACTATTAGTACATGCAATTAAAGTATATGTAATGTAAAAAGTAGAGACCATGTTATGGAAGACTTTTATCCTAGAAAAGGGACTAGTTTCCACAGTGTGCCTTTTTATCCTGTGCTTTATAATAAAGGCACCACCTGTAGTCCTAATATTTGGGAGACGGGTTGGAAGATCAGAAGTTCAAGGTCATCCTTCACTACATAATGAATTGAAGGCCAGCTTAGTTTGCATGAGATCCAAATCTTAGAAAGCAGGAGGGGGAGCACTGGGAACATAACACAGTCTGTGAAGTGCCTGACATGCAAGTACGGAGCAGCCACATCAAAGCCAGACCTAGTTGCTCATGACTGTGACCCCAGCAGCTGCGGTGGAGGGGGCACAGGCAGATTCCAGAGCTGGCCCATTACAAGCTCTGGGATTAGTGAGAGATCCTGTCTAAAAGATAAATTAGAGAGTTGTAACATGAAAAATAATGTATCACCACAGAGCGTGATACAGAAGATGCCAACTATTAGCGCCCCCCTCCTAAACACACACACACACACAATGAAGATTTTTAGCCACAGAATCCTTAAGAGCATTTCTAGGGCAACCCAGAAGTCCTTCACAATGTTCTAACTTGTTACTTTCTTACTTCAGGTACAAAGTGCAGCATCCGCTGCCTTGAAGAGGTTGACGTTTTTGAAGAAAGACATAAAGCCTGGGGGATTGACTCCATTTTGGAGAAATTGTATCTCCTTACAGAAAAGTAAAAAAGTGCTGCTGCTGCTGCTGCTGCTGGCGGTGGTGGCGGTGGTGGCGGTGCGCATGCCTTTAATCCCTGCACTTGGGAGGGAGGGGCAGGTGGAACTCTGTGAGTGTGAGGCCAGCCTGATGTACACAGCAAGTTCCAGGGCTACACAGAGAAAATCTGTCTTGGAAAAACCAGACAAAACAAAAACAGTCAATTCCTGTGTGGGTTTTTTAAAAATTAAAAATTATGTTAAGGCTTGAAAACATAATCATTTGAATTTTTTCTTATACAACATACTTACCTTTGCTCATAACTTTTTAAACGAAATCACACATTAAAATGTTGCAAGTCAATCCTTTGAAGAATGTGTGATTGGTAGCCAAACATTAAATATCGTGTGTCTTTTTCATAGTCAGCATGAATTTCTCCTATAACTAAAAAACAAAAATGTAATGCTTGTTACTTTATACAACAAATAACAAAAAATAGTATGTATGAGAATTAGAATCACTGAGGAATTGTAAGATTTTAATAGAGTTAGGGGCAGTCTAAATTATTTTTAATTATACTTTACTATAAATCTTAATCTACTTAGGTGCTGGGACCCCATCTTTACTTATTTTTTCTCTTGTATAATTTTATATTTAGCAGAATTAAGAAACAAAAAATTTTAAACCAATCTATATGGAAAAAGTTTTTTCTGCAAACTGTAAGAATAAAACCTGTAAGAAATATTTTTTTCTGAGTATGGCAAATTTTTTTTTGTTTCTTTTAATTTAGTTTTACTTAGATGAGTGGTTCAAGGCTGTTTTTTGTGAAAGCTTAGGCTCAGAATTTGTTAGCTCTTATAACAATCACATTTTGCTTAATCAGATGTCAATCTGTAACTCCACACGTCCTAACATCTAAAGTGGTTTATATTTTTAACTCATGTTAATACAGTAATGTGTATTTTTAAAAATAGGTTACTGTGTATATATGGGAATATTTGTGCATGTACTAAGGTAATGGCTGTTATTAGGAACACCATTAATATTGATGAAAGCTGTATATGTTCTCCATGGAGATTATCTTTTAACAGTTAAACTTGGGGCTAGAGAGAAGGCTCAGTGGTTACGAGCACTTGTTGCTCTTCCAAGGACAGGGGTTTGGTTCCCAGCACTCATGTGGGGGTTCACTGCTGTCTATAACTACCTCCAGGGGACACAACACTTTCTTCTGTCCATGGTGGGCACCAGCTGTGCATGTAGTGCAATATATACATTCAGGCAAAATACTCATCACATAGAAAGTATATTTTAAAGACTTAACTTTGTGTGAACTCCTTTAATGTTCAATGTTGACTTAATGTCCTCTCCAACAGCTGTCCTTGGGTATCTTCTGCCACTGACCTATTCAAGTATCCTGTTCAGACTTGCTTTTCTGACACCTGCCTCAGTATACAGAGTGAACTTCTAGAGGCCATGAGCATCTGACCTCACCTTTGTATCCAGCTGAACGGACAGTATTGGACCACTGACCTGAGCCAATCCAATTCTCTTTAGAGTTTTCTTTTAAAGCTCAAATCTGGAAAGACAAGTTAGCTGCTCAGGGGGCAAAAACGAATGGGCATAGCAGGATCTCTCAAGTTGCCATGGCTACCACAGAGATGAGAAGTGGAGACACAAACAGTAGAGGAGCCACCAGTGTTCTGGTCTCCCAATTTACCCTTCCAGAAGCCCTGATACCCAGCCTGAGGAAGAGAGTCTCATGTTGTATGATAGACTTCCCTGCTCATGCAGTAGCTAGAATTGTTTCCATAGCTCAAACCCAGAAAGTCTTACATGATACAAGTGAGATAACTTTATGTCATCAATCTTTAGTGTAAAATATGTCCTCACTGGGGGTGTCCTGAATTTAAAAGCCTTGAGATTTAAAACACACTCCATATACATTGTTACCGGGGCTGAATTATTCTTAGGATTTTCCAAAAATGCCTTTTTTTGTTTGCTTGCTTTGTTTTTTATTAACAAGGAGAGCAGCACATCTTCACGGTGTACAGAAGTCTTATTCCACATCAAGGAAAGAGCACAGAAAGGAATGCAACCACACCTTACACTGACTGACTGGTGATTAGTCCTGGAAGGGACTCATGGTTGGGACCACAGAAGGTGGCCTCCGATGTTAGGGAACTAACTCATGATTGAATGGAAACTAGCTCACAGAGACATTAGTTTGCCCACTCACTACCACGGTACATTTGTGGTTGTTGTTTTATTTCATAAAGGAAGCAATTTTCGATGTGTATTTATGCATGCATGTCATGCTTTGGATGAGAACTGTCCATCACAGTCTGAACACTTGGTCTCCAGCTGGTGGCACTGTTTTGGAAGGTTCGAGCCTTTAGGGGGTGGGGCCAGCGGAAAGAAGTAGGTCACTGGGGGCAGGTGGTAATGGCTTATAGTCAGGCCTGGTTCTGGCCCTGGTTCTCCGTGTTTGCTTTTTGTGCCAGTGAAGAGTCAAATGCAGGACATTCCAGCTGCCTCCATCCAAGTCTTCCACCATGTCTTCCCCACCACCATGGACTGTAGTCCTTCAAACCATGGCCAACAGACCCCCCTTTCTTCCTTAACTTGATGTCTAGTATTTCATCACAGCAGTAAGAAAAGTAACTAGGGTGCGTATGTGTGTTTATGTGTGTGTGCTCGTGTGCACCGGACTAGGAACTGGTGGATTCCACGGGGTAAAGGCAAACTATGAAGTTGATGATTCTGTAAACTGTGAAAGACTCAAATCTTGGTGTTTTTTCCCCATGTCTGAAGCTTAAAGCCTTGAATAATTGAGAAAACGTTAACTGCCAACCAAATGCCATATTAAAAATCAAATGCCATACTTTTTAATTTGCTATTTTGGACCTGGCATACAAACACCTGTGACCCCTGCACTGGGGTGGTAGAGGCAGGAGGCCCCTGAGCTCAAGGCCAATCTCAGCCCCATAACCAGTGTGAATCCAGCATAAGCTACATGAGACCTTGTCTCAAACAAACCAAAACAAAAATCAAACTCATTGTTGGGTGCTTGATAGGAGTAGATTGTGTGTCCAATGTTGCAAAGCTGCCCAAACATGCTAGTGGTGTAGTTCTGCCAGTGGCCTCACGGAGGCAGCAAAGGTCTGAGAAGGCAGAAAAGGTAGGCTTAGCAGGGAGCTAGCTGTTGGTTATTTCTGGGGAACACAAGCTTGGCTATAGTCAGCAGAATTGGGGTTGAGTTAGACACAAGTAAGTGATTTTACTTAGCACATAAAATGAGTACAAAATATCTCTTTCATACTTTCAAGTAATTACAAGTCCAACTAAATTAATTTCGTTTTCTTTTAACTTAAAAAAATGGAGGTACAAGGAAATTATTTTAAAACATGGGTTTCATTATATTTCTGTTGGACAAGACTGGTTCTAAAAACAGTCCAGTTTTTGTATCCTGAATGTATTTCCCGATTTAAATGTATTTCTGAGGAGCTGGAGAGGGCCCATCAGTGAGAAGCCCTTGTGGGTTCGATTGCCAGTTCCCATATAGTGGCTCACAGCCATCCATAACACCAGTCCTCGGGCACCAAGCATGTATGTGGTACATATACATACGGTGGAGAAAACACTTATACATATAAAATAAATATTTTTCCACCAGGCATTGGTGGTACATGCCTTTAATCCCAGGACTTGGAAGCCAGAGACAGGTGAATCTCTGTGAGTTCAAGGCCAGCCCAGTCTACTGAGGGAGTTCCAGGGCAGGCTCCAAAACAATACAGAGAAACCCTGTCTCAAAAAACAAAACCATAAAATAAATATTTTCCATTACTTCTGAGGGGCTGGAGAGACTGCTCAGTAGTTAAACACACTCATTGCTCAATCCTGAGGCCCTGCATTTGGATCCCATCACCCCTCATCAAGTGGCTCAAAACTGCCTATAATTTCAGCTCCCAGATATCTAACACCCTCTTCTGAACTCCAAGGACTCACACTCAGATGCATGCACAACACAATTAAAAATAAGTCTTTTTAAAAGTAGTATTTCTATTCGATATGCTTTAATTGGTTTCTTACTTAGACTGGAGATGCACTCTGAACCCATAGCATCAGCTTGGCTATTCTGGTCTAATCTCGATCTCTGAGATATGTAACTCTTGATAAAACGCTTTTCTTTGCTCAGTATTAGCAAAGGGTTGAGTCCTCCATTTTCTTGGAAGTCTATGGAACAAGAGGGTGAACAATCATGATCCCAACTTGTAAACGAGCAGGAATAATAAGCTAAATATGAAGATCTGAACATCATAATGGATTCCTGTAGATTATAGTGACCATAACTTTAAGGTTGTTCCAATATATGTAGATAACCTTTACTTTCAAGTTTTCAATTTTAAATATTTCTTATAATTATTTATATGCATGTGTGTATGTTTGTGTGAATGCATGCACATATGTGCAAGTACATGTAGACCAGCAGGGGACACTGGAATTCCTGGAGCTGGAGTTACAGGTGGTTGTGAACCACCCAGTGTGGGTGCTGGGAACTGAACTCATGTCCTCTACAAGGGCAGCAAGTCCTCTTTACCACAGAGCCATCTCTTCTGTCCCTTTACTTTCAATCTTGCCTGAGTCTGGAAGACACGGAAGGAATCGCTGGCTCAAATTTACCCTTCACAGCTCCCTGCAGCCCAGCCCTCACCCAGGAGGACCATGAGGCCTTTGGCAAGGAGACTCAAGCATTTGTCATATAGAACCATATTTGAGGATCAGTGCAAGATAGAGGTCCTGTAGTCAAACTGCCTGGCTTCCAATCACTGCCTAGCCGTTTTTCATCCAAGCCACTCCAGTTGTCAAGAGGCTTGACTAAAACAATGCATGAGACCACTGCAAAGAAGGCAGATACATACGTTCTATAGATATTGATAGATATTGCTATTAACTGTTTTGTTGTTGCTGTTGCTTGTTTGTTTGCTTGAGACAGGGCCTCACTACCTAGCTCTGTCTGTCTGTCTGTCTGTCTGGCCTGGAACTCGCTATGTAGGCCACCATTCCAGGCACTAACAGCTTTTAAATATTCCTTCCAAACAAACCCATTTCCCACGTATTCTTTCGTTTGTTTTCGTGTGTGTGGGGGGGGCGGGGTTATGGGAGGGTTGAGACACTGTAAATAGCCTTAGGCTGACCTCTAACCACTAGTGTCTGCCTCCTCAGTGCTGGGATTTCAGCTACCACACCCAGAGGCGCTGCGAATGTTGGGTGTCTACCTTCTCACAAGTGTGATAAAACACACCAAAGAAGTATGCACACCTGACTCACCCACTTGAAGTTATCTTCCTTCCTGTATCACTCTCCTTAGTTGACCCATACTGGGAGCCTGTCTTATTCCTGCCCAGCCCTGCTAACCAGCACCCAGCGCAGCTGACGAGCAGCTCTGCTGGGTATCAGCATTGGGAGACTAGGTTCGGTGCTCGCCTTGCCACTCACAGGTTAACAGGGAACGGAAAGCCGGCATCTCTCACCGGTGACGTGATATGATGATTCCAGGTCTGCGCACGGCGCATGCGAACCACTGCGGCGTGCGCCCGCCAGGGAGCAGCAGCGCGTACCAGCAGCGCGTACCGGGCCAGGCGCTGAGCCCCACGTCAGAGCGGATGCCCCGCCCCGTGACCGTGACCGTGACCGAGGGCTGCGCCAGGGCTGCGGCAGCACGGCAGGAGCGATGGGGGAGGAAGCGGCGGGGGTGCGGCCCGAGCTGGTGCGCGAGGCGGAGGTCAGCCTGCTAGAGTGCAAGGTGTGCTTCGAGAGGTTCGGCCACCGGCAGCAGCGGCGCCCGCGCAACCTGCCCTGTGGCCACGTGGTCTGCTTGGCCTGCGTGGCCGCCCTCGCGCACCCGCGATCGCTGGCCCTCGAATGTCCCTTCTGCCGGCGGGCCTGCCGAGCCTGTGACACCAGCGATTGCCTGCCGGTGTTGCACCTTCTGGAGCTCCTGGGCTCCACTCTTCACGCGTCCCAGGCCGCCCTCAGCGCTGCCCCCTGCGCGCCCGGGGTGCTCACCTGTCAGCACGCCTTCGGAGGGTGGGGGACCCTGGTGAACCCCACGGGGCTTGCACTGTGCCCCAAGACCGGACGAGTCGTGGTCGTGCACGACGGTAAGAGGCGGGTCAAGATCTTTGACTCCGGAGGAGGAGGTGCACACCAGTTTGGAGAGAAGGGGGATGCAGCTCATGACGTGAAGTACCCACTGGATGTCGCCGTCACCAACGACTGCCACGTGATTGTCACCGACGCTGGCGACCGGTCCCTCAAAGTGTTTGATTTCTTCGGCCAGATCAAGCTGGTTGTGGGAAAGCAGTTTTCCCTGCCTTGGGGTGTGGAGGTCACCCCTCAGAACCTGGCCCTGGTGACTGACGCAGAGGCAGGGACCTTACACCTGCTGGAAGTAGATTTCCCCGAAGGGGTCCTTCGGAGGACTGAGAGGTTGCAGGCTCAGCTTTGCAATCCCCGTGGGGTGGCCGTGTCTTGGCTCACCGGGGCCATCGCGATCCTAGAACACCCCTGGCCCTTGGGGACAGCAGGTGACAACACAAGGGTGAAGGTGTTCAACTCTGCCATGCAGCTGATTGGCCAGGTGGATAGCTTCGGGCTGAACCTCCTCTTTCCTTCTAAAATAACTGTCTCAGCGGTGGCCTTCGACCACCAAGGAAATGTGATTGTAGCAGACACCTCTGGGCCAGCCATCATATGCTTGGGGAAACCTGAGGAGTTTCCAGCCTTGAAACCCATGGTCACTCATGGTCTCTCTCGTCCCGTGGCCCTGACCTTCACCAAGGAGAAGTCTCTTCTTGTGCTGGACACCGCATCCCACTCTATAAAAGTCTTTAAAGGGATGGAGGGTAACGGAGGGTGATGGGGTCCCGGGGCCGGGTGTCATCAGGAGTGAATTGCACCCTGGATGGGTCACCATCACTCATCCACCCAGGCAGGAGGAATGGTATCTGCCTGACAGAAGTACTGGATGTGAGGCGGTTATAAAAGACTAATCATTAAATCTGTCCTTTAGTGGATGTCTATTCCCAATGTTAAGAACTTTGCAAAGCTTAGCTCATTTGCCCCCTAACACACAGTGATGTAATTTCTATTATTAGTCCCATTTTAGAGATGAGAAAGCAGATGCAGAGAATTTAATATGATTTCCTCGAGGCATAGTTACTGGGACAGTCACAATTAAACTCAATTCTGACTTCAAACCCCTTGCTCTTAAATATGATGCCAGATGTTTTAAAAAGTGAGCATGTCTTAGGTATGCTCTCCCTACAAGTAACTTAACAACTGGTTAAGTGCATAAAGAAACAAAAGAAATGGGTCTCCGTGGAGTTTTCAGGAGAAAAAGGATTTTGTGTGGGTATCATCTGGGAGCTCCCCCAATGGCAGAATAGATGGATTGTTACCGATGCCAAGACTTGAACAAGAAACACAGTTGAGCTCTTTCCTTATAAGGCAAAGGTTGCCTGGTTGGTAGTATATGCCAATAATCTCAGCACTCGGGAAGGTCTGGAGTTCAATCCTATCTACAGCTACCTAGTTTGAAGCTAGGGCTAAATGACAATGTCGACAATTTTTTTTTTTTGTAAATTGGTGTCAGTGTTTCCTTCTCTACAGGCACGGGGGACATCCCTGAGTGGTCTGAGCAAAGCCTGTGGAGCCTCTGCCTGCTAGTGCTGCTAGTGGCATGGACAGATGAGACCTGTGTTAGTTAGGAGATGTTGCCCCGGCACATTCATGCCAGGAATGAATTTGTTTGCTCTGTGGTAATCTGTGCTGTCTAATGCGCTTTGTGATGGAAGTTTTCTCTGTGCACTTTGAAATAGCAGTCAAACACTGTCTACTCAATAAACAGTTCCCTTGTCTTTTTAGAGCTCTGTAAACATGTCTTGCACTGAAGCATAACCTTGGCCCATGTAAGGGTTCCTTAATGCTGCAATTAAGGGAAGGAATAGGAGGGAATTTGGGGTAAAGTGCTGATCCTCTGTATGTTTTATGTATCTATTTCTAAGCAAGTGTAAAAGTCTTCATGTTTGGGGCTGCTGAAATTATACCGAATGACGTAAACCTCTAAAGTAGCAGGGAAATGTTTTCTGGGGGATGCTCTCAGAAGGTGACAGTTTGCTGTAGACAATAGTGGATGCTATGTCAGCAAATAGTATTCCTTTATACAAGGAGACTGTTTTTGAGACAAGGTCTTGAACATCTTAAGTTGGCCTTGGACTTGTTCTGTAGCCAACGATGACCTTCAACTTCTGATCCTCCTGTGTCCATCTCCCAAGTTTCAGATTATGGGCTTGCATCGAAATGGCCAGGGTTCTGTAGTGCCGGAGGTAGAGAGAACCCAGGGCTTCCTACATGCTAAGCAAGCCCTCTACCAACTGAGTTACATCCTAGCCCTATGAAGAGTTTTAAGAGAGATGTATCCACTGAAGACTGACTCAAAAGTATGAGTAAGATCTCCTCCTAAAAATTTGGAAGCTGACATTAGGAGCCCAAAGTGAAACCTAGTTCCCTTGCCAATCCATAGAAGTCCATGTTGCTTTTTTTTTAAAAAAAAGCTATGATATCTATTTACTATTTGTGTGTGTACATTAATGTGTATGTGTGTCGGTGCACATGCCATCATGTGTGTGGAGGTCAGAGGACAACTTGAGTGAGTCTGTTCTCTTCTGCTACCATCGGGTCCCCGGTGATCAGGCTTGGTGGCAAGCACCTTTACCCACTAATCATCTTCCTCCTCTCCCCCTCTGCCCATTGCTTTCACTGATTACATGACATGACACCAATAGTAACATCTTGGGCGCCCCATAGCACCATTGGTCCTCTAATAGGAACTCCAGTGGCTGGTTTCTTCTCCCCTCTCACATAGCCTTCAGCTGGGTATGGTGGCATACCTATAATCCTAGCACTTAGTAAGCTGAGACCAGCTTGGGCTACACAGCAAGACCCTGCCTCAAACAAACAAACAAACAAATGAAACAAATTATCACCAGTGGACCAGTGACTTCACCACTGCTTTTAATGTGTACCAGAAAAGCGTCCACAGCAAAAGATGAGTTCAATGGCAAGGAGGGTAACTATGGATTGATTTTATGTTTTCCTTCAGAACTATGGCATTTTTAATAATGTTAATGTTTATTGACCCAACTCAAATGGGTTTTTTGTTTGTTTGTTTTTTGAGACAGGGTTTCTCTGTGGCTTTGGAGGCTATCCTGGAACTAGCTCTCATAGACCAGGCTGGTCTCGAACTCACAGAGATCTGCCTGTCTCTGCCTCCCAAGTGCTGGGATTAAAGGCATGTGCCACCAACGCCCAGCAAGATTTTTTTAAAAACTTATCAATCACATCTTTTAGTCTATATTCTGTGTGTCTTTTTGGGCACACAGGGAGGCCTGTGAGGAGTTGCTTGGCACCAGGTGGAGAATCAGGTGTGGGTTTGTGACACGGTGCCGGAATACCCTGGAGATGCGGTGACTGTAACTGGTACTCTTTCTTGGGAGTAGGGTGCATCAGAGTACACAGCAAAAAAGTATCTAGGGCATATCTTCCTGTGAGTCGGTGTGATATGGAGCAGTTTGATCGTTCATCTCCAAGCATCCCTGGCTGAGGGACTCTTGTCACCAACTTGTGATATAGATCTAAATTTTGTCTTCTATGCTGTGTTCTTTAAAGCAAGCTGAAGTCCAGGTGGTTAAAGATGATGGTTGAAGACTTCTCAGATAATCAAGAAGAAATGGTCTGGGAAGACCATATAGGGTGCCGATGTGATGGAGGAGGGCAGAAATATGACCAGGTGTAAAGAGTGGAAGAAACAAACTCTTGCAGGACACCAGCCATATGCCATCTTGTGAGACCACAGAAGCAAACACAGTGCCAATGCGTATTCTCACATCACCTTCCTCCTTTTCCCCTCTGGCACTGAAAGCTGACTTTGACCTCACTCTGCTCTTTAGACCTGGTTTTCCTCATCTTTTGCCTTTGGCATTTTTCTAAGGATGGTTCAGAATCTTAACCCTCTCTTCTAGCAACCCTAGCTTTGGTGCCAAGAGCTTAAACCTCAAACTTGGCAGGTCCTTGTTTAGAGCTGTTGTGGATCCACTTGGAAGGGATGCAGACCCCTCTGGAGATTAACTCTATGAACCTTTTGAGGAAGAAGTGTAATCCCATATACCCCCGAAAAATGAGCAAGAACCATTGATGATCTCAGATTTAATGTTCCTTATGCTTGGTACAGACAAAAGAAATGCATCCCAGGGACAAGCCAGATCACAGTGAGAAGTCTCTAGGCAGAGAAAAGAAAACTACTGGAGGACTTTGGTGAGGATGCATTCGTTTTTGAGATAATCTTTTTGTACACTGTGAAGATGTGTCTGCCTAAGGCATCTTCTGATTGGTTTAGTAAAGAGCTGAATAGCCAATAGCTAGGCAGGAGAGAATAGGTAGGACTTCCGGGGAGGGAAGGGAACTCAGGAAGAATCTGAGGCAAGCAGAACTAAGCAAGAGAGATGTAAAGTGAGTCAGACCTATGGTATGGAGGAGAAGGAACGAGCCACATGGCAGAATATAGATTAACAGAAATGGGTTAATCTAGGTTGTAAGACCAAGCTGGGAACACACTTAAGCTAAGGCCAAACATTCATAATTAATACTAAGTGTCTGTGTCATTATTTGGGGGCTAGTGGTCCAAGGAAAGTCCAACAAGAAAGACCTGTTCCATGCACTGGCAGGCCGGGAAGATGGCTCAGTCAGTGAAGGCACTTGCCACCAAGCTTAACTGCCTGAGTCGGATCCCCAGGTCCCACATGGTGGAAGGAAAACACTTAATTAGGTGGTTTACATCTTCAGAGGTCTAGTTCATTGTCAACATGGTGGGACATGGCAGTGTGAAGGCAGACACGGTGCTGGAGAGGGGGCTGAACACAGGCAACAGGAAATGAACCAAAATACTGGGTGTGGCTTGAGCATATATGAGACCTCGAAGTCCACCTCCACAGTGACACGCTTCCTCCAACAAGGCCTTATGTACTCTACTAAAGCCACGCCTCCTAATAGTGCCCCTCCCCATGAGCTCATGGGGGTCAATTACATTCAAACCACCGCACCTCCCAAGTGTCAGGATTCCCACACCCAGCCCAAAAGTTAGACTATTTTGCTGATCTGTTTGTATAAAATTGGGCTTAAACCTACAAATTTGGGTGCCAAAAATAAGAAACTAAATCTGAACCCTCCCATGAACACAATCCTAGTGTCCCTGAGACCAGAGCACAAGTGGGAACTCCTATGCCATGGGTCTAAGCAGTTGTTATAAAATAAGACACTCTGATCCTCCTACTTTGGCAAAGGTAATTATAAATGCTAACAATATACTCTCATTGTGATCTGGAAAGACAGATCGCAGTTTTGCGTACCTGGAGGTTTCCCACGACTTGGCAGCGCCTCATTTTAAGAAAATTGTGATGATTCCCACCTTTAATCCTAGCATTTGGGAGACTGAGGCAGGAGAATCTCAAGTTCCAAGCCACCTTGAACTCCACAGTAAGACCCAGTCTCAAACAAATGAAAGCATACAAAACTTAAGCCAAGCTGAAATGTATTTGAAGTTACAAAGGATGGGCAGGCTTCATTTTCTATCAGTTTTCAACCAGAATGTAATGCCTCATGAATGACATTTGTGCTGCTCAAAGCTGTATCTCTTATTACAACACACTGTAGGCATTCAGATAGATTTTGAATTAGTGTGTTTTTCCCAAAGAAATTTTCTAGACTCTGTTTTCCACCCTTCTGATTAAAAAGTGAAGTAGTGTAGGCAGCTATTGACCTTGTAAGGTGATCTATGGTGGGTTTGCTGGGTGTGATCTGTGATGGGTTTTCTGGGTGACTCAGGGGTACAACAGCACTGTGGTAGCTTTGTGGTAGCTGGGCTTGGCTGGGTGTGAAGAACTTTGTGTTTGTAGTCGCCATGTTTTCTTTCTTCACCCAAGTACTAGGATGCCGAAGTCCTAGAGTTGCCTGAGACTCACACCTTTGGTCAAACCTCAGGCAAGCAGAGGCAGCACCCCTGGTTACTCTCCCGTGTCAGACAGTGCTTTTAATTAGCTCTGGAGGCTGTGGCAAGCCAGTGCTCATGGGTCATGTGCCTGGCCATGCCTGAAGCACTGCTGAAGCCACCTCCAAGTCAATTTTGGCAAACCACAGGTGCACAAAATGGTTTCTGCCCTTCTCAGGGATGAACCACTTAGGGAGCATGACCACAGGCATTTGCTGACTGCAGGCTGCAAACATAGCACATAGTGTGTCCATTACTGTAGCTGACCAGCAGTCTCAGTTTTACTGAAAAGTGATGACATTAAAGGGGTAATCAGGCAAGAGAGTATTGGTTTGACAAACAATGACATAAAAGCAGCAATAGGGAAAATCTACTCTGCTTCAAGTCACTTAGTTTTAGGAATGGAAAGAAATTAAGGTGTTTTCTATTACAGCGTAACCAAGCTCCAACTGAGGCCTATAGAAACAGAAACTGGCTTAGGTGGCATAGTTAAGGGAAGAATTAACCAGGAATAGGCTCCAGTTTGCCCAATCCAGCAGGAGAGGATTTGAAAGCCAATGACTGAGAACACACACACACACATACACACACACACCATGCATACCTTGATCTTTGCAATTCCCTATGTGAACTTTCATTGTTCCATAGCATCTACTAGGATACCTTACTGTTTGTTTCTCAAATAACAACCCAGTTTGTGCACACAGTGGCCCAAGAGAACACTGCTATTTTCCACAATGACCACTTTGACCATAACTTTGAGGCCATTCTCTTTAGTTGTTGCATATGTAAGCCTTTATGGGCCCAGAAGCATAGGACTGA